TTTGGGATGTGGGTGTGGGTGTGGGGCTTCAGTTCAACCACCTTCACACCCATACTCTCAATACAGACCTTCTAATACTATCTTATTGACGCATTGAAGGAGGCAAAAGTTATTTTGATTGTGTGGATTCGAAGAAAATCTTGTTGCATAGAAAACTCTAATATTTGAAATCAAAACCAATTATAACATCTTAATTATATGCCTTTGTTACACTATGATTATCAAGAGTAAAACGCTTCCTGTAGTCTTATGTAGATAGAGGATAAAATTTATGGTAATGCACTATTAGTCAGATACATATCCACTCGGTTGCTGGGATTGCAATAAGCTTTATTTTTACTCCTGCTATTTCTAGTATAACAAATATGAAGAGCTTAAGAGATCTGTTATGAGTTCAAATCGCTATAATAGCTTCATACAGAAAAAGATTCCTTAGAAATCTATCAGTTTTTTCGATGCACCAATAAAACAGTACAAGAACATCTATTTGCGTATTTTTTGACTCTTTGTCTCTCGAAATCCTTGTAACAGAAAATCAAAAAGAAAAAGAAAACTCGCAAACAACTTCATAAATGCGATACGAAGTATTCTCAATTTTCGGCAATCGGATTTCAATTAACATAAGAATGATAAACGATTTCATCAAGAGTCAGTACAGTGTTGTCGAAAGTTTCCATTATCTTTTCTGCTTATAACAACTGATCGCAAAACAGCTCACCAAATTTTTCATCACTTGCAGTAAAAAATGAAGGCCAAATCAGTGTTTGGAAAAACTTATCGGAGATTCAAAAACGTTTGTATCATCTTGAGACATAATTTTCCTTGACATACAGCGAAAAATATGAAGGCCGAATGCTGTGCCTGGCAGCGCAAAGCAAGTAATTCAGGACTCACTTCGTGTATTTCTATTGGTAAAATCCGATTAATTTTGCAAAGTGCATATTTGCTTGTTGATAATGGTCAAGGAAACGAGGGCGATTTAGTCGCAGTGGCTTATTATACTTCTAAGGAAGCATACAAGCTAACATTTTCACGTGTTTATACCTAAGTATGGCTTAGAGACTTTAGAACAATAGCATATATTTTCATTGGGATGAATAGTGCTAATTCTACACCGTATCTATTTGACAGATTCCTTATGAATAATATCTTTGACGAGATCTGTGTCACTGAGAAAAAAAAAATCAGGCCAATTGATTAGAGTACATGGGATCTTATGCAAATTATCAATCAAAAAAGTCTTTCTCTTGTAAACATGAATCTTAACAGGCAACAACTTGTTTTATTTTTATTGCCAAATTTAAAATATTACATTATATTAGCGAATGCAAAAACAAAACAAATTAAACAAGTGTCTCAAGTTGATGTTGTTTAATAGAATAAGAGGCACTATCTTCAGATGAAAGTGACCCTAAACATGAATCAGTTGTACTTCGTTCTGATAAATTATCATCATTATCATCTCTTTGTTTCAATGATATTAATCGATCAATATCACGATCAACACTTGAAGTTCGTTGAATAGGTGATTTTTTTAAAATACTCTTCGCTTGTAGTACTGTTGTTGATTGCGATGTCATTTCACGTTTCTGTGTTATAGTTGATAGACGAAATCGAACACGAGATAATGAACGAGTTGATTTCATTGTTTCACGATTATTAATAGCTTGATAATATTCATCTTGTCTTGATTGTCTTATATTTGTTGGCCTAAAATTGAAATAAAAATTAAAGAAAAATAAAATTTTTGAATATAAAACAAACTTTTTATCGTTATTAATTTTTGTTAATTGATTTATAATTTCTTGTTGTTTTTGAATTAAAAATTCTTGTATTTTTAATTGTTCATAAGGATTGAACATTATTGTTTGTTTTACAGATGTTTGAAGAATTTTTTTACGTTGAGCAAAACGTAATGATGATAAATTATTTTTTAATTCTAATTTAAAATGAATATCTAATGATGAATAACGAAAAACAATATCTTGAATAAAATCTGTCTTTTTTAAAATGAATAAATACGAATGATATTCTATATATAATGAACAATCATCTATAGTTAAATATTCTTTGTCAGATAAATCATTAAGTAATACATTTATTATATCAGCAACTGTTGTTAAATGATTAAAATTTGTTATACATTTATTCACTCCTTGACAACATATTTGAATACATTCAAATGGTCGATGTTGACAACCTAGAATAATCAAAAAAGAAAAATTAGAATTAAAAACAATGTTTTTTGTTAAAGAACTTTACTTGACATGTTGGAGTTAAATATGTTTATCTATCGATTGAATCACTCTATTTATATATAAATATATAACTTTTTCATATAAGTCAATCAATTGTGTTGTTTTAATTGATTACTGAATTGCATTGGTATTGACAAACGAATAAGATATAAATATTAAGTAAGAAAAATTCAATAATTTCACTTCACTATTAACAAAATGGATTATTGGTTCGTTTGTTTAACAAAAGAGATTGACACCTTCTCTGTCAGAAGAAAAAAAAGAAAAGTTGAACAAATGAATGTCGCTGACGGCATTTTCTTTTTTTTGTTCATAAGAAAATGAACATCAGAGAAATTTATTGATAATTAACTAAAGTGAGATCATATCGTTTTTTTTTCGAATATTTACCGAAGAAAAGAAATATTTCGATAAAAGGAGATTGTCATTTTCTTATCAAGTTATATTTATTTTTATATTTTCTTTTTCTATTTAATTGAACACAAAAAAAGAAAAACAATAATCTAATCTATGATTGCTCTTTTCAATGGTGATGATTAACTATCGGAAACATTCGATGTTTGAGCTGTTGTTGAATATTGAATAGCTGGTAAACAGGTTTTTTCAAAAACAGATCTATTCGAGAAAAAGAAAATATGATAAATAATCTTCTAGACTAAGGAAAAACCGATGTTAACTTACTCGTAAAATCGTACACGAGCGTCAAGTTGATTTAATAATAATTGTTGTTGTTTTGAATATGCTTTCATTAACTATCACAAAACATATCGAAAATAAAACAATAATAAATTGATCAAAGATTTACTTTATATTTTTGTTTATTTTCTTGAAAATCCTTATAATCATATGTAATATCTTGAACCAATGGAAACCAAAGTGTATTTTCTGTTTTTAAATTTTCTTTATCATCTGTCTGATATTGCATAACTTGTGTTTGTAATATTTCATTATGATTATTATTTTTATTTTCGTCGTTCAAACTAGATAAACTAAAATATTTTATTTCAAACAAAAAAAAAACATTCTATATAGATTTTACCATCCTAAAAATAGTGCATACATGACAAATCCTATTTTTGAAAAATTGCCTAATCACAAAAAAACACACACACATGCAAAATGTCATGAGATTTCAAACAAAAGTATATTATCTGATACAAAATACATAGAAAAGAAAAAATACACATGCAAAAATTGAGCAAAGTGATTAAATGACTATAGAAATGCAAGAATGTTATACATCTCAAATAAGATAAAATAATAATTATTATAACAAAAAAAAAAGAAAAAAAGATGAAAACTTTGGTTGTAATGATTTTACCATATGTCAGAAATTTCATCTTGAATAAAATTTAAAGCTTGATCACAATCTTTTCTTAAACGTCTTTGTTGTTCTTGACAACGATTAACATTTTCTCTCATTAATCGTAATTCTTCATTTAATGATGCATTTTCAATACGTAGAATACTCATTTCTGCATCTTGTTGTGTACACTTACAAAAAAAAAAAACAACAACAAAAATTTAAAATATGTATTTATAAAAAAAAAAAGATAATAAAATACCTTATTACTAAGTGATGAAACATTTAATATATTATGTTCAAATTCATTTCTCATTTGTTCAAGTTCTTTTTCACGTTTTCGTACTAAACGTTTATGTTCTTCAATTGATCGTTCAAGTAATGATATATGAACTTTTAATTCTTGATTGATTTCTTCAAATTTTTGCAACTAAATAAAAAACAATTGACAGCGTAGAATTTGAGAAGAATTTTCAATCAGAGACATTCATTGACGTATCTATGGAGTGATGTCTCCAGCGACCGCGAAAGTGAAAGGGGGTATACATCCTCCTGATAATTGAAAGTTTTGGACTTTTTAAAAATTGAAGTATAGACTATGGAAGACAAATCATCTTAAAGGAGAGTTTTCGAGACCCTATTGTTTTTGCATTCTTAAAAAATTTTCGTTCCGCGAATTGGATTATCTGAGAAAGTTTTTTATCGGATGGCACCGTTCTATTTTCAAGATAAATAATGGTTGAAAGTGACTTCGCTTTCAACGGCTGAATATGTAGAATAAAAAATTTTCTCTCGTATCTCTCGTGAGTTCGACTTCTTATTGCAGCAGATTATACATTTTATGTAATTTGGCGTTTAATATAGCTTCAAAAGGCTGCCGCCTGCGGCGTAGCGTATGAAAAATATGACAGAAAACTTTCACTCCACCCGGCTTTCGCAAGTCAAATACCTTCGCCAAGTAGTCTTCGGGCAATTTTTCGTCATGCATGCCTCTGTCAAATCTCCCTGAAACACTTACATTTCCCTCGAATCCTGAGACTTTCGTGCGGTCACTGGATATCCCGTGGTCTAAATAAAGCCTTAAAACTCACGAAAAGACTTGCAAAGATAACTGTTTAAATTGTAGAAATTTTCTTATTAGTAATACGGAGTGCTACTAGATGTGTAACAGATCCTGATCGAGGAACAGAATCGGTTTCGATTATCGTTTCTTTTCAGAATAACTCGAATTAGTGGTCGCGTTTTTTCGAAAGAATTGTTATCGCTGCACACTTCATTTTGACTGTTCCGAATCATGTGACTCAAGTGTGTAGAAATGGAGCTCTCAGCAGCATAGAACTAGCTATTCAATAAGGAAGTTCATGTGAATCGGACTGATCACTGTACCAAATTTTCTCGAAAACAATCGGTCGTAGGACTTAGGTTTCAAAGCAGAATTGAAAGGTTGTCATAGATTCTGCAGAAAACGAAAACTTCAATGGCGAAAAATACAGCATCAGATCAAAGTTGAAGTGAACATTTTTCTTCATTTAGAATCTTCATGCATGTTATTGTATAGATTATTTCGATGTATTAGCCTACATATCCATGCCCACACCCACACCACTCCAAGCCTAATTTTATATCCGCAAAAAAAAACGATACTATTCATCACCTATTTAGATAAAATATGAATGAGGGTTCTTTTTTTGTATAAAATCTAACCTTTGAGATAATAACAGATTGCTCATATTTTAATGTTTGTAGTTCTGATTGTGCTGTATTAAGTTCAGCTTCTCTTTGTTCTAATAAATGTAATGAATTGTTATTTGCTTCTTTTAATGAAATTAATAATGATTCATATTCATTAGACTAAAAGAAAAAAAAAAGTGAACTGTGTTAACTTAATTATGAATATATGAAATTTTACTTTTTCATGATAAGATTGTTCATTTAGTTCTAATGTACTTTCTAATGATTGATTTTGTGCATGAAGAGTAGTTAATTGTTTTTCTAATTTTTGAATTGTTTGTTGAAATAAATGATTTTCATTTGTATATCCAATAATATCATTTTCAAAATTTTCAATCTAAAATTAAGAGAAAATTTTTAACATGCTTTATGTTTCATTTATTAAAAAATTACTTTTTTATTAGCATTTGTCATATTTTTCATTAATTGATCATATTTAAATGTTATTTCATCTAATGTATGTTTTAATTTTTCAATAGTTAATTCTGCTTCTGAATGAGCATGAATTTTATTACTAAAATTAATTTCAATAGATGCTTTGAAAAACAAAAAAAAAACATAATAGAACATTTTTTACTTAAGTTCTTTACGTAATTGATTTAAACCAATATCTTGTTCATCAATTTTTGTGTGCATTAAACTTTCTGCTCGATGAAAATCATCAAGTTTATCACGTAAACGTTTTATTTCAATATGTAATTGACGATTTTCATCATTGGTTTGTAACCATTTACGTTTATATTCACGTAAATATAAACGAGTTTTTCCAACAATTTTTTTAAGTGATAAAAATTCTACAAGAAAATCTTCATGTTGACCTTGTAAATGAGTTAATACTTTTGTAGATTGTTCAAAACGTTCATCAATTGGTGTAAGTCTATCAACATCACCATTTAAATCAATTATTTGTTCATCAACATGTGCACTAATATTTGCCCATTGCTCACTCGTTTCAGAAGCCTATAAATAAATCATGGAAGCAGACTGATAATAAATCTTTTTATGACTAAGTACATATTGCAAAATGCAACATGAAAATTAGGAATAAATATTTCACTGTGTCACATGATCTAAAAGAAGTTCTAAAGTTTTCAGATTCGGACTGGTGGAACTGGAATTTGATAATCATAATGAAGTTTTCTAATCGAAATAGTATTGGATTTTTGAAGGATTAAGTAAAAAAAGAGGATGAAGATATTTGCTACAACATAGATAGAATAAAACAATCTCTCTATGATTAGAAACAACAGATACATCTTTTCTCATATTTTTAATAAATTGGCAAATTCATTGTCTAGCAGGGTTACTTTGTAAAGTTTAAATACATTCATAAAGACATGTCTAGAGAGATCCTCTGTTAAGTACGTTGGTTTTTGTTATCTGTAAAAAAAAGTAAATCTTTTTGTTGCTATCAATAGTGATAATTAACAAAGGACTTATCTAGGCATGTCTTTATGGATAGAAAGCTTGAAGATGTCTCTAGCATTGATAATAAAATCAACTAGTTTACTTCAGTCCTAATAGAGATAATCAATTTTTTTCAGGTGCGTGACAGAGATGTTCATGGCGGCGCAAGATTCTCAGCCGCGATGGACATCTCTGGTGAGTAACTGTTGAACCACCCTGTATACGTTAAGTCACTATATATAATCTAAAAAGAAAAATCAGTCCTATGGACTTCTATTCGAAAGAGTTATCACCAAAAACCTAGCATTAGTGATGTAACTGAAGGGTGGGTGTGTGGGTGTGGGTGTGGGGTGTGGATGTGGAAGTGGTAAACAACACACCCACACCCACCCACACCCTTAGCACAATCACGAGTTACAAATAGATAAACGAAAGAAAATTTATAGTTGAACATTCTTCTTCAGAATCTTTAGACAAAACTTTTATTTTTCGAACTTTTTAAGATCTCTAGAAAACCAACTTTTAAGTGTAGTCTTGCTGAAAATTTCAGCATAGATGCTAATCGTATTGTACACTCTATCTTAATGCCTTCGGATTTATCTCCCATATGTTTAGAGAGATATTCATTAATTACGTTTTAATTAACAACCAATATTTTTACATATGTATATTCTAATAAAAGTTATTTTGGAAACATTAAAATCAAATGAAAAATGAGTATGACCCTCCCACATACATATATCTTACCTTGCGAACAATTATTTTAAAACAATCTCCAAGTAAAGTTAATTTTTGTTTATAAATTTTTGCTTCATCCATTGATTGCATTAACTAAATAAAAATAATAAATTGATATGTTATTTTATTTTAAACTTACTCGTTCTTTATGTAATCTATCAGATTTTTCTATATCTTGTAAATCATATTGATATTTATTTAATTCTTCATTTAATAATTGATGTTGTTTTTGAAGTTTTTCATAATTAGAAAAAATAGTTGTTAATTCATTTTCAATAGATTTAATACGTTGTTCACGTTCATAATATTCATCATTTGAATATCGATGATTTTTTTCATATGTATGATAATCTTGTTGAATTTGATGAAAACGATTTGTAATTAATGTTAATTCATTTAATTTTTCAATTAAATTTTGTTTTATTGTTTGATTATCAATTTCTAATTGAACTATTTGATCATGTGATATTGATAAATCATTTTTAGATTTTTCATAATCAATTTGAAGATGTGATATAAGATGATTTAATGTTTCAATTTCATGTTGACAATCATCTAAACATTTTGTTTTTTCATCTAATAAACTATTTATTCGATTTAAATTTTGTTTCATATCATTTTCCTAGAAAAAAAAAATTAAAACAATTTTTTTTATGTATTTTAGAAATATTAAATATTTTTCTATTTACTTTGATAGTATGATCTTGAATAAGTAAACGAGCTTGATTAAGTTCACTTTTAAGTGTATCATTTGTTATTGAAATACTTTTTAATTGCATTTGTATATCATTTAATTGATTTATGGAATCATTTGAACGTTTTTGTTCTTCATCAAGTTGTCGAATTAATACAGTAACTTTTGATGTAGATTTTGAAGCTGATTCTGTTTCATCATAGAGAAGTTTTTGTAAATTTTCAAGTTCATTTTGATAATTATCATTTTGTTCTCGAAATTCATTACGTTCATTTGAAATCATTAAAAGATTTTGTTTTAATTCATCAATATTTTTTAATAAAGTAACTTCATTGCCTTTTAATGTAAATATCTCACTATTTAATTTTTCAAATTCTTCACTATATTTTCGATTTTCATCTTCACGAAGTATTGTTATATTTCGTAAATCACCTTCAGATCGTTCATATTGAATATATATTGAGTCGCGCTATAAAAAAATAAACAGAAGATCATTATTTCTATTGTTCTATTAAATATTTCATCTTGTATGTTGGTTCGAACTACCGTCAGTGTAGCACGGTAGTCATAAAAACTGATGGCATATTAGCAATAGATTGCTTATTGAAGAATAACTATCGATATATTATGGTTAAAGATGTGTGGGATTAAAAATAAGACTCAAAAAACTGAAATCACCAAAATCGAACCGAGATCAGAACAGTAGCAGATTTACGAGACTATAAATGGAACTTGAACGAAAAAAAAACTTGGTTTTGAACATTTCTAATCTGGTCGCATTGATAATACCGCCCCTCCTCCGTAATGAAAGACTCCGGGGTCTTCTATTATGATACACGTTTTTCTATACATTCCAGTTAAAAAATTTTCTGAAATCTTTTTCTGGATTTCAAGGCTTCTCCAGCAGTAACTAAGGGTTTTTCCAGTATAAATAAAGCATGTAGTTAGCGTTTGTTTTTCATTTTGATACCGTACATTTTGTTTTTAAGAACAACTAATATAAACATTGTTGAGAATTAAGAATGTTTCGGAGTTCTATTTGCAAAATCTGATAGAACTTTATTATAAATGTTGCCTATGATTGAATCGTCGAATAGAAAATAATTAGAATAAAGGTTACGATGTGCTGTATACAATGCGATGATATGTCCTAACTTTTGCGATAAATCTAATGAATAACAAAATTAGTTCTAGAAACCTGTCACTTTTTTTATCTACTAATAATCATAATCTTCTTAAGCTTCTCATATTAACTTGACCTGTGAGTTTAGTAGTTTCATTCGTTCAGAAATGATATAGAAATATATTTTAAACACAATACAATGGAGTAAAGTAATTAAGCTTAGACTTCTGTAAGTCTTGATATTAATATAATATGAAACATAGTTAATTATGTTCATGTTATCATCTTGAGTTTGAATGATCTGTTTTCTTTTTCTATGTGGATCGTTTTGTCGAATTTACTGTCCATTGATTACATTAAGAAAATATTCGATCGAGACATAGATTTAAGAACTTTTCTATCTATTTAATGATTTAACAAGTCTTCGGCTCCAGTCTTTTTAGAACCATCCAACTCTACCATAGAAACGGTACAGACCGGCAGAGATGGAACCGGTCTAGTTTTTTTCAGACCGGTACCGGTACTGGTCCAAAACAAGAAGACCGGACCGGACCGGACCGGCCGGTCTACCGGTAAAACCCGTCTAGACCGGTTCGTCAACCGAAACAGATTTACCAAAAAAAGTTGATCTGACCGGTCTATCGGGCAAAACTAGTCTACCGGTACTAAACAGGATGCTGATGATACGTCAGTTTATAAAAGAAAAACCGACCTACCGACAAAATATCGTTCTATAGACAACAGGCTAACGCTTGAAATGAAGCCTTGCTTCATAGTGAACTCTCTTGAGGGCTACCTTCGTGCTTTCACGCACACTGACATAATGTTTTCCCGTTGATAACAATAGTCTCACTGATGGGTATTTTGAAAATTTTCTTTTAAATAAATTCCTATGTGATTAGTGGAACTAGCCTTGGTGCCAGTTGTTTTTTCATATGATTACTATCATACAACGGGAAAGTGAGAAATATAGTCCGGTTTAAGGCGGTTTCGATCGGTCAGACTGGTTTAAGCGGTTTAGACCGGTCAGATCGGTTTAAACCGGTCGACCGGTCGATCCAAAGTCCAGACCGGTACCGGACTGGACCGGCCAGTTACCGGTACCAGTTCCATCTCTGTAGACCGGGGTAGATGTTGTTGAGATACGAGTAAAAAGAGGGTAAAGACATGTGCCGTAACAAAGATGGTAGAAAACAAACTGCTTGTGAATAGTAAGAGCAGCTACATAATGTTTCATATGTTAATCTTTCATGGATTACGCTACAAGCTTTTAATAAATGTTCAAGTGTCTTCTCATGAAGTTTGCTGTTTTCCCTTTGTCTACGTCCTAGAATCATACTACTCATTTGTTAATTTGTCTTCTACCAAATATCCTATGAAAAGTAAATCGTGTATACGCATTCCAACAATCAATAGAAGATTTCATACAACAAAAGAATTGAATCGTTAATTTTACAGAAATCAAAACTGTAAAATACTGACTGAAGTCACATTAAAATTCATTGAAATTCTATTTTTATAACTTAAGAATTATAATAATCTTGTTCCTGCGAGTATTTCTTTTGCATAATAAATCGCAAAAATATTGTAAGAATGTTTATTTTTTGAAAAACTTCTAACGAGGAAACATATACTACTGTCCAATCGCTTTTAGATCGGGCATGTGCGCAAACGATAGATCTCAGTAAGTTATTAAATGTTCTAGAATGATTTGATTTTCCAGCCTTTTGTTATCGAGTTATGATCATAAGATTCTTCTGAATACTAAATGATCGAACTTCAAACTAAAAGTGTGCCTATACGGCAAAACTTCAGTTTGAAGTTCAATCATTCAGGTACGCAGAAGAATCTTAGGATCATAACGCGACAATAGAAGGCTGTAAAACCAAACTATTCTAGGACATTTAATAACTCACTGAGGTCTATTGTTTGCGCACATGCTCAGTTCAAAAGCAATTGGATAATTGGATATGTTCCCCCGTAAGATAATAATAGAATAAAAAAAACTACCTGTTCTTGAAGTTTGATTAAATCTTGTTGTAAAATTTTAATTTTATTTGCTTGTTCATCTTGAACATTATTAAGACGAATAATTTCTTTTTCTTGTATTAAACATTCTTCTTTAGCATATTTACATTTTATTTCAACTTCATGAAGATTTTGATCATAACGTACAAGTTGGTCTTGTTTAATTGCTAACTAAAAAACCAAAAAAATTATCTTCTGTTATTTGTTTTTTAATGAGAAATATTTTTTTGTTTGTTTTTCTTTACTTGTTTATTTAACGATTTTTGTATTTGTTGAAATTCATCATATTTTATACGTAATTCATTTGTTAATTTTTGAATTTGTTCATTAAGTGTTGTATTTGTACGTTCACGTTCAACTAATGATTCAGATAAATGTCGAAGCTATTTGAAAGAAAAGAATTTAAAAAAAAAAAAAAAAAAACGAATATTTTTCTTTTCATTTTATTTACTTCTCTTTGTAAAACATTAATATCATTTAATGATTTGGTTGCATGATCTTCAGCAAATTTTTCTCTATGTTGATTTTTAATAAGATCAGTTTCAAGTGTTTCAGTTAATTGTGCAACTTCAGCTGTTTTATTAATAAGATTTTGTTCTAATTGATCAATATGAGATTGTTTATCAAGAATTTCATTTGTTTTAATTAATAAATCATTTTTTATTTTATCTATTTGTTGTTCATAATCAATGATTGTTTTATTACGTAAATCAATTAATGTCATTGTTTCAAATAATTTTGTTTCAAGAAGATTATTACTTGAATTTAATTCATTTATTGTTTGTTCAAATTGTTCATTTTTTATTATTTTTTCTTGTAAATTATTATGAATTTGTTCTAATTGTTCATTTGAAAGTTGAAGAAGATTACGTAATTGTTGTTGTTCATGTTCATTTGTATTATTTTTATTATGTTCGATTGATAAATGTTCTTGACATGTACGTAATTCCAAACATTTCTTATGAAACTAAATGAATTATCTTTTTTTAATTCACACTGTATTAATAAGATAGATCCAAAAATGATAAGCACTTTTATATTTGACCTAGAGAGTTATACACATTTCAGTCTATCCATACGACACGTTAAATTACACAATCATTTGTATACTGTAATACTCATAAGTATCGAAAGTAGATTGCCGAACGAAGAGAAACTATTTAATAGGGATGATGGAAATTGATTAAAAATTAAGACTTCTTGACTTTGATTATCTCTGGTCAAAATTCATTATTTCCTTGAAATACCATTCGTATACGAATTTTCCGTTACTCGATAGTTGGTAACAGTCAATATCTTTAATTATATTTTATCTACTAAAATAAAGATATGATATCACCTGTATGCTCTTTTAAATATCAAATTACTATCGGTTGATTGCCAATGTACCGCACATTGTACCGAACGCTTGAATAACATAGGGAATGTATGAGTTCACATTTTTGTGAATCTGGATCCGTAGCTTCCTATATATCGATTTACTTGTGACGACAATGTTTGTAGAAGTTTAGCTTAAAAGAATGCGATTTGCAGGTTAGACACAACAGTATTTATTCTGTTGCAGTTGTTTTTCATAGTCCACTCGATTTTAAATTATCTAGAGAGTACCATCTTAAAGGTGATTAATCACATGGAATGATTTCACCTTCAGATAGTACTCAGTAGTTTGTTGTGAATCAATTGAAGAAAATTGATCTATGATGGATTACTCAAAGAAATATGAACTCCAAAGAGAAATATATCATCAAAGTGTTGTTTAAGATGATTCAATCTTGATTTTTTTTCTTTTTGTACTCATGAAAGGTGTTTAACTTATTAAAATAAATCCAATCTAATAGAATGTAAGCCTATCAAGATTGGGATTCAAGTTTATAGGAAAAATATTCTATGATTTCAAGAGAATTATTTTATGAATCAAAACATAAGTCAAGACAGATAATTAGAAAAAAATGCTGCTCATCGGCTAAATAATTCTGAGTTTCCAAGTATCAGTTCTTGTCTTCATTAGTTATATTACATACTGAGATTTCTCATAGAATTCTAAAAAGTGCTAGAGGAAACATTTATAGAAATAAATTTTACACGTTTTATTTTAAATTTATCTTGCTTTCGATCTCATAAAATATATCAAAACTTTATCTTCAAAGGAGACATAACACAGACTTTTTTGGCAATAGAGACAAAGAGTTTGACAAAATTGTAATGAATCTATTCAACTCTATTATAATGGTTACAATGATAATCATATGTAAATAATATACTAAAGAACTTACTTCATCTGCTTTTTCTTCAGAAAGATGTTTTAATGTTCGAATTTCTGTACGTAATTGTTCAACATCCGATGCAGCAGTTTGAACTTGTTGTTCTAATTGTTCATCATGAAATTTTTTTAATAAACGAATATCTTGTTCAAGTTTATTATTCAATACATCTTTTGCTTTAATCTAAAATGACAAAAAAAAAAAAAAGAAAAATGAATTGAACAAATAACTTGAATAATTATTAATTTACTTCAGTTATAATTGTATCGAGTCGTTTTCGTGTTGAATTTAATTCTTGATCAAGTTTTTCATATTCAACTTTTAATACAGTTGGTTCCGTAGGAATAATTAGATGATTATTTGCTGTTAATTGTCGTTCTAAATTACGAATTTGTGCTTCTAAATCAGCTGTTATTGTATCTTTTACACGACACTATCATAGATAAAAATAAAACAAAATTTATTTAGATTTAAAAAATAAATCAACATGAACAAAAATATCTATACTTGTCTTTCTAAATCATGTCGTTCATTTTCAAATACAATTTTTTCATTAATAACTTGTTCAACTTGCTGTGTTAATTGTTCAACTTGTTGTTTTTTTACTTGAAAGTCATTATTTAAAATTGTTGTTGATTCTCGATGACGATCAGAAATTGTTTTTAATTTATTTGATAAATCATGTATATGTCCTTCATAATGTTGTTTTTTAAAATTAAATTCTTGTTCAAGATCTTTTAATTGATTTGATTTAAGACGTATCTAATGAAAAATATTCGAATAATTATTTATTTAAAAAAAGAAAATCTTACTTCCATTTTATATGCTTCATTTTTTTGACATTCTTCAGCATATTTCGATCGAAGTTCATCAATTTTTTTTGTAAGAAGAATATTCTTTAAAAATAATAAAATAATTTATTTAAAATAATTTCTATTTAAAATAAAACAAACTTGTCCTTTAAATTCATTTTCATTTGTCAATGAATTGAGATTCAATGTCTATACATTAAAACAAATAAATAAATAAATAAATAAATAAATAAATAAATTTTTCTTCACTTGTTTTGATAAATCATTTTGTATTTTTTTAAGATGTTCAATTTCAGCTTGTAAAACTTGTATACGTTCATCACGATATTGAATTTCTTTATGTAATGAAGTTGATATATGAATATCATCATTCGTTATACCAAATATACAATCGAATGGAAGAGTTTTTAATTGAAGTCGTTTTGTATCCCATTTACCTGTACGTTTAGCTATATTAATAAATGATATTAATGAATCAAGATCTTGTTTAAGATCAAGATTTTCATGAATTAATTTCCATTTTTCTGTATCAATATTCTTTAATAAGAAAAAAAAACAACTATGCATAAAATCTACTATTTAAATATGTATTTACATCAGTTGTTTTATTTAAATCAGATAATGAATGATGATGCTAAGAAAATGAACATTGAAAATTAGTAAAAATATACAGAATTCTTTTTCTTTTTAAAAACGCATACTTGTAATGATGCATTAACTTTTTTAAGTTTATTTTCAAGTAATGTAACACGTTGATTAGCTTCTTTTTCAAGTTCTTCAAGACTTTGTAATAGTAAACGTGTTTGTATTGATAAATCTTTTACATAACTTTCATAAATAGCTAATTTTTGCTATAAATAAATAAAAGAAATTCATAATAGACTTTTAAGAAACGTTCTATCTAAGTAGAAACATATCAGAGACTACATATACCTGATTTTATATTTCATCCACTAGTAAACACATATCATAATATATGTTTGCTATATGCAGGATCTCGGCTAGGGTATGGATGGGATAGGTTGAATTAGTGAATAGGAGAAGCAAGCACATGCACACACTTACATCGACACCTAATTAGAGTTTGTCAGATTTATCTTTGATCTAGACTTGAATCTGATAAACTCTAAAATTCATATCCGAATATATGCTCATGCATAAATTTGATATTGGTATCGATTGTGTTTGTGAAATAATACATCACACTGAAATGGTTAAAGATTCAGTCGAGGACTAGGGTATATTCCATCGACGATTATTACTTGTGTATATTAGATGAATGGAATTTTCATAATAATATATGTTTCAAGAACTTAAATAGACAAAACAAAAAACAGATATTAGATATTCTACTATCATTATATTCGAATGTTTAAGTAAACAGATTATTCATCTGATCGATTAATAAAGTGAATTTTGAATGTTACTTGTGATAATTTGTCTATTTGAGATAGAAGGAATTTTTTTTGCATACGATATATTAAAAGATAGATTATCAATAGCTGAAAAAAAAAGCTATGACATTATTTATTTATTTTGTAGCAATATGATTGAAAAAAAAAGGTCACAATTTAATAATCTATAATATCCATTTGTTCTCTACAAGTTTGATAAAAGAAAGTTAACCTTCAAAAAATTGTGAGTCTCATTCTATCCGCAGACAGGTAAACAGTCTCAAGGAAAGCAATGTCAGACACTTTCAAGTGTCCCTCCCCACTCATGAGAATTTTCATCTCTGACAAATTAAGGTTTCATCTTGATTAGAATTATATAGACAATTCTTTCAAAAAAAAAAGCATTGGACTATAATCAGAAGATTCAAGTTCATTATTAATAATAATTTAATGATATAGAATTCAGTGTTTTCCTTCGGAAGGACGATTTGAGATTTCGAGAGGGCAAACCATATAGTTCGTCATACGATGATCGCTGAGTCTCGGGGGGAGGCCTTTCCGGGCACTTCTCTAGACAAAACACTGATAGGATTGATCGCTCGATGCCATAAAGGGATGAATTTCGAGTAATCTTTTAAACAACATGATCTCTTTTAAGTATAGTCATATAAACATAAGAAACCGGTGTTTTTTAAGAAGTTTTAATGAACTATAAACTTATCGTCTATAACATAACATAAGTATGTGACATGATATGCTGTATTCCGAGTGCGGATGTGGCTATTTTCCCTTAACTATAACACATTTCGTTTGTTTATATAGGTATTTTACGAAAAAAAGATAATGTCATTGAAAATATCGTCCCAAAATACTTAAACTAATTTTCGTTGAGATCTAAAACTTATGGTATAACGATTGATAATGAACTTTGTTTTAAATGATTGCTTTTCGAATGTATATATAAAAAAAAATCAAAAATTTAAGTTATAAGCAATGCTGTTCTAAGAACTTTAATAAATTATTTTTACAATGAAAAACTTAACATTCAAGTCTTGTTATTTTATCATTGAAATAAAATCTATTCAATTTCTAAAACCAAGAATATCGTACCTATATTATATTTAATCAATATTCAAAAGTATAAATATTTATATTTCTCTTTAATTATACATAATATTGCTTCAGAATTAAATCTTGAATTATTATAATAACTACTATACAATACTCGACAACTAAAGAAAAATATTGGGTTGGTAAGAAATTTTTGTCTTTTTTTTCGTAAAGAAGACTATGCTGAGCATTTGGTGGGGAGTACGAGGGATTACTTATTGGGAACTACTTCCAACTAAGTGCACTAACACTGCTGATCTCTATTGCCAGCAATTAGACCAGGTTACGACAAAACTTCAGGGGAAACAGGATAGAATTTATTTTTTGCATGACAATGCAAGACCTCATATTGCAAAATCCACGCGTGAAAAATTATTGGAGCTCGGATGGGTTACGGTTCCACATGCATCTTATTCTCCAGACTTGGCTTCTACGGACTACCATTTGTTCCGTTCTCTTTCTAACCATTTGAAGGAGACAAAGTTCGACGACGAAAACGACCTGGAAATGGACCTCCTCAACTTTTTTAGTCAAAAGTCGCAGGACTTCTACGAACGCGGGATCCTTTCTCTACCAGAGCGTTGGCAACAAGTCATAGATAGTAATGAAGCATACATTGTTGAAAGCTAGTTGTATTCTTGATATTAAAAAAAAAACGACAAAAATTTCTTACCAACCCAATATATATAGTTGAAACAACTCTTTGTTATGTTTATATTACGTTCTTTAATAACATATTTTACTTCTGGCATCTGCTGTATAACGACTATTCAAATACGTTTTTTTTTGTAGTATATTAACAATTGAAAAATAACACGTAATAACAAGAGTCTATTGATCAACTATAACATACAATCGATATTTTCTTTATCATTCGAATGTTATTTTAAATAAATTCATGATGTATTATTTTCATTAGTATAAAGAATAAAAAACAAAAATATCTGAATGCGATACCAATGTTTCTAATGTTAAGTACCTGAAGAGTATTTTGTTAGATAAAAATACATTTTGTAAATTTTTTTGCTATTATTTAAAAGTTACTCATCTTCCTCTTGTGTATATATATTTTACCTGTAGATTAAGTTAAGAACCTTTGTTTTTTTTTTTTTCTTTAGCTTAATCAAATCGAAATCATGATCGATATATCTATTTTTTCTTTTTCACACTGGTTGTTTACTGCTATAAGTGATTCGGTTTTTGTGACATGAATTATTTTGATTTTAAGATGAAATTAATAATAAATTTGTCTTTATTTTTCATATTAATCATCATACTAGAAATGAAATACTCATTTTCACTCAATTTTAGATTTCTATTAGAGAAACATTTGTTGATATATTAAATATTAAAGTAAAAATAAAAAAACAAATTCGATTTACTTTATGTCGTTCATCACTTGTAATATTTTTTTCATCAATACTTATTAATTTATTAATATAACGATTTTGAACTTCTTCAAATAAAGTAGTTATATGTTTAACATTAAGATTTTGATTTGAACATTTTGTGTTATTCATTGATCAATGAGAAAGAAGACAAAATGATTTCTTTTTTCTCTCTCTCTCTCATTCTTATTTTACATCTCATTGACAACTCCTTTATCAAATACATATATATTTTCTTAATGCATAAATGTGTTATATTGAAAATTCTTTTGTCCATAAAAAAAAAAATTTCTATAAAAACGAATAAAAATAATTTTTTTTTTTATGAAATAAAATAAATAATTTTTTTTTTATTTTATTACAAACTAAATTATACGTAAATATATTGAACGAACCAGTTTATTTCATTTCTTTTTCCTTTTCTTTTTTTTTTTTTTTTTTTATTATACTTCAAATAATATTTTGTTAATTTTATTATTTGAAAAATATTATTCTATTTTTATTAAATAGATTTATTTCAAAAATTAAAAATATGTCGAAAAAATCAAAAAAAGGTAGGACAATGGCATTAACTGATTTTCTTGCATCAGAACCAAGACTTGTTACTGTACGAGAAAGTACATGGGCAGCTATTGTTGATGAAGAAGAACAAAAAAAACCAATAGGTAAATCAATTAATATTAATAAATAAATCTTTTTATTTTTTGTTTCTAGTGGTTGATATGAGTGGTTTACCAACAGCACCACGTTCTGCTGTTGATATTGATTATAGTACTGTTCCAAATAATGCTCCATTTGTTATACATGTTGCAAATTTATCATTTGAAATTGATGATGAAGGTCTAAGGCGAATATTTGCTGATTTAAAAGTAATGCAAAAAAAAAAAAACAACGAATTAAATTTCATTATTTTTTTTTTTATTGTTAAAGCCAAAAGCAGCTCGTATTATGCGTGATGGTACTCGTAGTCGTGGTATTGGTTTAGTTGAATTTGAAACACGTGAAAATTTAATTGAAGGATTAAAACGTACAGATAAAGAAATATATGGAAGAAAAATTCGTATAAATGTTTCTGATAAAACTGATTTTAATCAAACTGATAATTATCGAACAAATTTTTTTCATCGAACAAATCGAATTATAGGTGATGAACGACCAGAAATGTCTGATCGATGGAAAAGAATTGAAAGAAAATCAAATGATTCATTTGATGAACGATCATCAAGTGGATATAATCGTGATAGATCAAATAGAAATGAACAAGGACGATGTAAACTTATAAAATGTTTTTTCTTTCTTATAACAAAAAATTTATTTAAAATATTTTTTTTTTTTTTGCTATTAAGCAAATTTTACTGGTAATTCACGTCATAATGGTCAACGTGGTAGTGATTATGGATATGGTTATCCACGTACAAGAGATGATCGTACTAGTGGAAATCGTGATTATGGTATACGTCATCGTTATAATGATGATGAAAATCGACAGAATAATGATACAGATAGACCAATACATAATGAAACACGGTAATATATATATATATATCGAAATGAAATATTGAGAAGTGTCTACAGAGACTTATTATTTGTATGAGTATGAGATTTTTTAAAATTTTGTACTACAAAATAGAGCATTTGGTGAATTTTGATCGCAAACGACAATCTGAGATTGTATATTTATATATAGAGATGGAATATTTTAGTTCGATGTAATCTAGAGATTCGAGAAAGTTATTATTATCTGGTATAATTATAATGTATGGATCTCTTCTCTATTGATGATTATACTTATAAAATTTGTAAGGTAAATGATATAAAATTAATTATCATTTTTCAATGATTTTCAACAACTTTCATATTCGTGCAAGAGAATTTCTGGGAGATCTTTTTTTTTGCATATAATATCTATTTTTCCTTCGTAGTAATGTAACTAATATATATATATAGAGAGAGCGATAACAAGGACTGAAAAACCTATAGAACAACATGAAGGAAAGAAAAAATAATTGTAACACATAACTAATAAGTAGAGAAACGAAGAAAAATACATATGAATAATTCTAAAGATAAAGAGAAAAAAATCTTTATTTTTAATAAATATCTTAATATTCAAATTAACAAAAGAATGAAGAACTAGACTGCTACTTGAATAGAAAAGGCATCTAACTGTATGAATTTTGATAAATATCATATTGAGATTTTATATGATATCTGTTTATTTAACAATCTTAGACTTTCCCAGAACGAAATCATATTAAGTTTCAATCGTGTTTAACTCAGCTGTCAACTTAAAAGTTAATGAATCTGTATTAACTATTTACCATATAAAGAATCTTAGCTATTAATTATCATTTTCCACATATTTATAGTTTTCAAACAATTGAATTTTTCAAATGTTTACTCTTTACTTTGAAATAATGGTTAAGACTGATAGCAATAAAGAGTCTAACATTATGAAAGTTACTTTGTATGTTGAGATATCCTTGTGATTAGTACTCAATTTGCAGTCGAAGTAGGAAGGTAAACGATTAAACTTTAGGTACTTTTTAACTAACAGCAAAACTTCTTATGACTGTATATATTCAATATTTAACAGTGAATAGGCAATAAAAAATTGAATTTTTCCCACTGAGTCGATTTCGAGTATTTAAGCTCTCCTTCCTCAAAATTCAATCTCAGACTAGAAATGTTCAAATGGTATGAAATTTTCAACCCTATATCATGACGTTTGACCGAGATACCGATCAAACAAGGATTAAAAAATAGCTAATTTCGTCTCCAAAATTTTTCTATGGTCTTCAGTCTATACATTTAATATCTTTTTTTTTAAAACTCTTACTTTTTAATGGAAAAAAAAGGAATCGAAAGTTCAGTAACTCAAAAAACCTCTCCAAAAAATGACGCTCTAATTGTATAAAGGTTTGTATATATATAATAAAAGCAAAGCGTAATAATAAAAAGAAAACAAAAAACTATTGACTATAATGAAGCTCCTTCGAGAATCTATAAAATGAGAAAAATCGATAAAGATTTTCGAATAGAAAATGAAGAAAACTTTTAAAACATTTTTCGAAAAAAAAAAGAACGTACTGAGTAAAAATTTATGATAGGCTATCTTCCCGTTATTTGAACGGGGGGGGGGGGGGGGCTTAACAAATTTGTTGTCTTATTCTAGAAGCTGTTGTTTATTTTTTATAATTATTTTATTTTTCTATTTAGGGATAGACCCGATCGAAATACATTGAATGGTAATTTATTTAATATATATAAATATATATATATATTAATCTTAATTATTATTATTTAAGATGATAATCGAGAACCACCAAGAGAACGTCCACGTCTTCAACTTCAACCACGTACAAAACCTCTCGAAGAATTTAAACCATTATCTAATTCATCTTCATCTGTGAATAATATTGCTGGAACATCATCTATAATAAATTCTGAAGAATCTCCGTCTATAAATGAACATAATTCTAATGAATATCTACAACATGAATCAAATAATACATCAGAAGTTGGATCATCTATTGAAAAATCTACAATTAAATCATTAGCTCCATCACGTGGTGCTGGTTCATCAATATTTGGTGGTGCAAAACCTGTAGATACAGCTGCTAAAGAACTTGAAATAGAAAGACGATTACAAGAATTACAAATGGCTAATACAGAAACTGGAAGAGATCATTATGATAAAGGATCATCATCTAGGTTAGAAATATTTACAACAACAAAAAAAAAATGAATTTCTGTTTTTTTTTGTTTCATCAATTGAATTTATTATTATTATTTTAAGACCATCGTTTTATCGTGGTAAACGTTTATCAAATAATGATGATTTTCATAATCGTGATCGACGTGATGATGGTAATATTCTTTTGAATTTTTATAATAATTTTAATTTTAATTTATATTTATTATTTTAGGTCGATCAAATGTAGATTATCATCATAAACGAGAATTCAGTGGTATGTTATACAAAACTAATAAGAAAAATTTTTTGTAGCACATATCAAATCGCTTTTTTTTTCGATATTTGATAAATAATACAATAGTCTATAATTTTGTCTAGCAGCTGCTTTTTTTGAATGATCACTAAAATCAGAGTCGTTAGGAAAAGTTTCATAGCTCTTAGATAGAACAAATTATATGTAGATCGAAAGAGAAGAATTGTTTTCTATCGATTAGTTCTATTATAAGTCTTAATTGAAAGAAAAATATCTTTGGACTTTTTTCTATCGTTTATCAAATAAACATTGACTCAGTCAAAAAAAAAACGATTTGACATTTGGAAAGATTTTCTTCTAATTGTATTCAATATGCGTTATTTTCATATTTCGATTGTGAGAATTTTATCAATATCAGAAATAATTTCTGTTTTTTTCTTTCAATATTAATGAAAGACTTTGTTATACATCAGTAATCTATAAAAACCATTGGATATTGAAGTTTATTTGCATTATTCAATAATCAAAAGAGAAAAAATGCTACACGTCTATTTTGTCTGTTTCTATATATTAAATAGTTAGAAAATTTGATAAAAATAAATCGATACACTATTTTGTTCATTATTCTAAAGCAAAACAGATCTTACCGTTCTCATGTATTTTGTTTTAAAAGTTTTTTTTCGAGTATTGAAAATTCTCCGGATTGCTAATATTACCATTGTTAATTTATTGAGTTTACATTCATCTCTATTAAATTGATATTGAAAGAAAATAATTTATAATTTTAGGTGGTCGTCGATATGAAGATGATAGTCGAAAACCTGATCATGATGATAATTATCGTCGTGACCGTGACCGAGATCGTTATAATAATTCATCTCGGCGTAGTCATGATAGTGGACGAAGTGGAAGATATAATCATTCAGATCGAGGTTAATTATATTTAAATAATAATTCTAATAATTTCTTTTTCGTTCTATTTAATAATAAATAGATAATGATCGTAATAATTATCGAAATCGTGAAACAAATGAATCTGATAGTCATCGACGATTATCTGATGATAATTTTGATGTTGAACCACAATCTAAAAATCAACAACGGTAAATAAGTTCACTGAATTGAATTTTCTATCCTGAATCAGATTGTCATATATCCAATGATATAGAAGATATCATATTTTTATAGGAATTTTTGATATGCTAAGAGCCGATACACGAATTATAATCTTCAGCGGGATATTATAGAGTAATGGGAGCTCTTCAGTTTTCTATAGTTGATAGTTTTCATCATTACTTTAAGTTTAAGTCCAAAATTTTCGAATTCGGTCTCAAGCGAATTTTACACGAGCATTTTTAATGAAATTTTCCAATTGGAATCAGATAGTATTGTGGTACGTACGTGATATGTATCATAAGATAAATACGCTAGAAGTATAATCCATAGAGTTACCAGAACTTTGCCAGTAGGACGTTCGCCACTGGCGAAAATCCATTACACTTTCATCAGTTGTGATGAATCAATATTAACATAGGATACATACAAATCTAATTCATAATCAAATTGGCGAAAGTCAGAATTCTCAATTCACACATGTTCGCTGTCTCTTTCTGTACATATGTATAGAGTGTTAACTGCACCTATAACTTTTCTTTCGTTCTGTCAGGTATTTTTTTTCTAGCGTGTCCAACTGTATTATGTAATCAATTGATATATATTCATGGGTGAGTCACTAGAAAGCAATGGAGCGTAATTGCTATACCTAATAAAAAATATGAAACGCTGGCATGCCTATGAGAGATTTCCCTGTTTTTCCCTCAGCAGGCGCGCTATTCGAAAAATTTGAAGGCTAAAAACTTTTTCCGCTTATAATGGACTTATTTATATCAGGAATATTGCATCAATTCTTATTATATAAGAATTTTCAATAGGAGCATTTAGTATTGTTAAAATATCATGAATATATCGGTGTTTTTCTATAGAAAAATAGGCTATTCTTAGGAATAATTTTGCAAGTTGACAAGGAATTCTTCCTCTTCGGGAAAGATATTATTCATGAATATATATAAAGTTCAATAGTGTGCAATTTTTAAGAACATTCTAAATTGAAATTCACTCAAATATCATATGATCAATAAATAAAGTAAGACTTAAGAATTATTTTTAAAGCTATGAAGATAATTATTAACCTTCAAAACATTAAAAAAGAAACTTGATTTCTTATATACGATTCGATGTACCGCCGCGATTCGCTCTAAAAAAAACTACATATATGACAATCTAGTTCAGAATAAACTATTAAACTCGACAGAGTTCTTTTCTAACCAAAAAAAAATTCTTCTATTTTATATATTAGTAGTATGCCACGGCGGACAATACAAACTGAAGATACTTCGAATAGAGTAAGATAATAAATGATTATAATTAAATTTAATAATAATCAAAAATAATATTTAGCTTCATTTATCAAACAAATTTGATATGCTTTATATTGATGTTCCTGATGATAATGCTCAAAGTCGAATAATTAATTATTAATTCAATGTGCATCTTGAAATTTATTTTTTCTATTTGTTGTTTGTTTATTGTCAATAACATTTAAAAAAAAAACCTATTAAGAATCAAAACAAAACAAAAAAAAAGAAAAGTAACGAAGGAACTTTAGATAAAGCGAGAGTATGTAAGTGTGTAAACGTTGATCTTCTTTTTAATTCTTTGGTTTTCTCTTTTTTTTCCTTTATTTGTCTCCGATTTCGGATTCGTTCGAATTTTTTTTTTCGTAACGGTCAATTCTTTTTTCGTTCACTGTTATCGTTATGACCGATCTCTTTTTTTTTTTCATAAGGAAAATTTGCTTGTTTATTAATCATTCTTTCACTATTACTCAAATAAAGAACAAAACATATATAGAATACGATTATCATCTATTTCAATAAATTTTTGGAGAGCATGTTGAATCTACGAGAGTGATTAGTTAAATTACTAAAAATCTAAAGAAGTTCGCTCTCATAGACTTTTTTTAATGACATTTTGGAAATTTAGTTATCTGAAACTTTCAGAATATTCTATTAATCATTAGACTTATGAGAAAAATTGAACTTCGAAATACAAATATTCAGATTTCTGCAAATCTCATCAATATATCCTTCTAGACGCTATATCAGCCCAGATGACTTTTTCATGATCACATAGTTTTCTGTCATGCAAAAGCACTGAGGTGAGCGTCGGAATTAAATAGGGATGAATATAAATTTAATAACTCGACAATGACAACAGCTATCGATCTACGGTTTTCACTAGTTGAAAAACAAAACTACGAGCATCGTTTTGTCTGGTACTATATGAGACAAAATTATTGTAAAACCTATTACCTCCGTAATACTTTCAAAAATATGTATGAAAACGATGTTTTGTTTCATAGGACGGTGATTTAGACATGTACATAAGATAGAGGGCGTTCAAATCGCTATCTTCTTACTGCTTAAATTCTATAAAAGTTTGTCAAAGTTTAGTACAATTGCTGACTGTACAAACGAATGTATGATCAAGTTCTACTGCGTGTTATTAGCATGCCAATAGATGGTGCTATCTTCGTTGCAGCGACGGCAGCTCCATCTATTGGTATACTACCGGTACTCAATAAGACTTAATCCTACATATATTATGAGATAGAGAAAGCCTGTTTTTCTACAATCCTACATATATCCTGTTTTGTAGGAAAAATTTATGGTCAATTTTTTCTTAAAAGTCCATACCGTTGTCATGCATTTTTGTTTGAAGTTTTGCAAAAGATTGATAAATTCAAAAATGACTTTGTTTAAATACTATCAAATAAAAAGATATCCGTAGTTCTGCTCTTTCGATTGTTGAAAACGTCACATCACGAGCTATGACCATTGTCGAATTATTGAGTTTATGTCTATCTGTTTTTTATTATAGCGAAGACAGTAATTTTTTCAAGGTTCATCAAACAATTGTGTTTATGAGTGGGCCACCAAAGGGTAAATGGAGGAGGGGGAGGGTAATTGCTACACTTTATAATAATAAAATATTATAATCTATTGTTATATTTCAATAAAACACGTTAGCCTGCTTAGGATTATGATAAATAATTTCCAAAGACCTACTGATGTCATGACACAAATGAGTCAACCGGATGGACAATCAAATAAGATGTGAAATTTGGTAACATGTTTTCTTTGTTGATTTCGTTTTTTTTTTCATATATTTCGCAAGAAACAGTGTATATTTATCTTTCCTTTTACTTCTTGTTTTTTTTTGACGTCATACCATAACCATTTTACGATTGACGATTTTCGTCTACAGTAAGTAACGAATATTATGACTCATAAAAAGGAAGAAAAAAAAAACATAAAAAAAAGACAAATCATGTTATTTTTTTTTATAAAGATTCATATGTGAACTGTGATTGTGCAAAACAACAACACGTGTAATTTTATCTGCAATTTCGATAACTAAGAATAGTACAAAGAGTAAAACTTGATTAGACTGAAGACTATTTCTTTTTTTTTTTTTGATTTAATTTTTTTCCATAGAAAATAATAATGAGTAATAATAATGAAACTGAAACACTTATTCAATCATCTAAAGAATCCGTCAATGAAGATTCTTATGATGATTATTCAACTGTGATGAGAAATCCATGGGATCCATTACATTCTTCTGATTGGGATAGACAAGTACCAAGTGCAACTTGTTTAGCACGGATTAAACGGTAAGTTTTTCCTTTTTATTTTTTTTAGTTTAAAATTTAAAATAGAATTTTACTTGATTAGTGATATTACCGGTGTATTTAAAGATCCACCACCAGGAGTGTTTATTGCTCCTGATCCTGATAATATTACTAAAGTATCAAATATTTTCTATGTATTTATAAGAAGATAAGTTTTTCTTTTTCTAGATTCATGCTCTTGTTGTTGGCCCATTCGATACACCATATGAAGGTTAAATATTGATTTTTACTGTATTTGTTTATAGATGATTTTATTTATAGGTGGATTTTTTTATTTCATTATACGTTGTCCCCCTGATTAGTAAGTATAAGAAAAAATAAACAATTGATATATATCTTAATTTTTTTTTCTTGTAGTCCAATTCGAGCTCCTCGTTGTCGCTTAATGACAACTGGAAATAATACAGTTCGTTTTAATCCAAATCTTTATCGAAATGGTAAAGTTTGTTTATCAATTCTTGGGTAGATATGATTTTATATATCTAATGTATTAAATTTATATTAGTTTAAACTTTTTCCTAGTACATGGAGTGGACCATCATGGTCTCCAGCTCAATGTTTATCATCTTTGATGATTTCAATTCAATCATTAATGTCAGAAAATCCATATCATAATGAACCCGGTTTTGAACAAGTATAGAAACTAAAAAAACAATAACGAAAAAAAAAAAACATTAAATTATTATTATTTTTCTTTTTGAGAAATTTAGGAACGTACATCAGGTGATTCAAAAGATTATAATGAAGTAATAAAACATGAAACATTACGTGTTGCTGTATGTGAAATGCTTGAAAATCCAAATTCATGTCCGCAACAATTACGGTAAATTTAATTCAATTGTTATTATATTTTTTTTTTGCAAAAAGAAATATTTCAATTTATGTTTTTTTTTCTTTTTAGTGAAGCTATGATTAAACAATTTTTCAATTTTTTTGATTATTATGCTGATTTATGTAAAGAAAATGTTACTAAAGATGGTCAATTAATGAGAGTAAATCTATAAAAAAAAAAAAAAAGAAAAACTAAAATTACTTTATTTTTATTTAAATTAAGGATCCATTTGGTGAACATCGTGGATCATTTCAATATTCATCAATATTAACACGTTTAAATCAATTAAAAAATAAATTTGAAAATCAAAGTTCATCAAATGAACAAGAACAAAAACCAAAAATTGATTCATATACTCAAAAAATAATTAATTCTGTACAAACAAATGATTCAACTCTAATATCAAATGGTGATATGGATCTAGATGATATATTTAATAATGATGATGATGATGAAGAGGATGACGAAGAGGAAGAAGAAGAAGATGATGATGATCATCTTGAACAATCAGAAAAAGTTCCATCAAATCCGGTATAATATCAGGTTTCTTTTTGTTTTCTCGTCACATTTGATTATGAAAATAAACTTTCTTTTTTTTTGCTTGTATTATGTATTTTTTTTTTTCGAAAATCAAGATTAAATTATAAAGAAAATTTTTGAATATTATTTATAATAAATAAAATACACAGACACTTGATGATTTTTTTTTGTTAGAAAGTTTTAAATTTTCTATTACAAATTCAACGTAAAAATATTTTGTTTAAAATATTGATCTTTTATTAAGTTTTGTAGCACTATGATACGGCTTTATAAGTAGCAAAAAAACAAATTTTCAATTTTCTAAGTATGTTTACTAAGGAAAAGTGTTTACAACGAATAAAATCGAATTCTTTTCAGATATTTTTACATAACTTTGTAGAAGAAAATTTTCTCTTGCGAATCAGAAAACAAAAACTATAAAGTCTTCACGATTAGTTTTTCTTACACTATACAGAAAACAAAATTAAAATATAACATTTACACTATTTGTTACAGAGTGTTGTGTAAGATGGGACAAATATCTTTTGCAAAATTTTATTTACGAACAACATAATTATTTCGAAATAATTTCTTTTCCTATTTCTTAAATAGTTAAGAAATGTAAACATTAGCATTCGATATAACAAATAATTTGATTTTATTTATTATTTACCATTGATAATATACCTTTGAATATTTTATCGTCTATTTGATTCAATAAGTTTGAACATTGCTTCATCTTTACTTTTTATGATTGATTTTTCATCAGTTGTTCAACTTAACTTAGAAAAACATTCATCAAGTTATAAAATCATTCAAAATTCTGATTCACAAGCACTCAACGCATATGATTATGCTCAAAAGACTAACTAAAAGGTATCAGTTAAGACGAGATAACCAATACTTCAGTCATTAAATAGGGTCTGTTGAGAGTAAAAGAAACATGGAAAATGTTTCTATTCATGCACGACTCTTTTGAAATTATGGCTGTTACACGGAATTTTGTTTACCTCTAGAACGGTGTTGGTTATGAACAGCCGAAACTCGTTTTTTCATAAACCTCGTGTCAAGACTAAAAAAACAAACTCCAATGTAACGACGATAAAGTGAGCAGAGATGTCCATCGCGGCTCAAAATCTGCCGCTGCCGCGCCGCGGCCAAAATCAAACAAAGCTGCCGCGACGCGATGGCCTGTTAAAAAAAGCTACCGCGCCGCTGCCGCGACGCGCCTTAAAAAAAACTTGCCGCTACCGCGTCGCTGCCGCGCTGGTATTCGAAAAAATGTTTTGATTTTCAAGGCTTTGACTGGTTTGAAATAGAACTGTTGCCGCTAATCGATCAGATTCGCTAAGTCTTACAGTATAGCATACATAAACATGCAGATTCTGTGCAAATTCATGAATTTTTGAAATTTTTTCCTAAAAAACTGCCGCCGCCGCCGCCGCTGCCGCGACGGCAAAATAAAAATCTCTCCCGCGTCGCTGCCGCGCCGCGATAGCTTTTGGAAAAAATCTGCCGCTGCCGCGATGGACATCTCTGAAAGTGAGATCTCATCAGAAACGTAATAATATTATATCGAATGTTTCGTTTGTGAGAAATTATATTTAAATTTTTTATAATCTTTGAAAAACTAAGACAAAATTAATTTTTATGGATCAAGATTAAAAATATAAAACATTTGTCAATTTTTCAAAATTAATGAAATTGAATTGAGAGGTAACAGTCTCATATATAAATAAAGATTTTTATTTTTAAATCGTAATAGTAAAAAAAAAATTCTTATTACTCTCGAATGAAACTTCTAAATACATAAAAAAAAGGACCCTGGATATAAATTATAATTTTTAATTTATAGAATAATATTTTCTATGTCAAAATCTATAGTTCAATTCATCGATAATTTAGCGTCATCTATTTATTCATTTTTGTTAAATTCGATATAAAGGCATTATTAACACAAACCAATTGGTATAATAGAGAGCATTTGATTGATTGCTACTGATAATATATTGTCTTTCTTCAATTTTTTGTTTTTCGAATAAAAAAAAAAAATTTAGAATATATTATATTAATATGGGTGCTTATTTATCATCACCTATTTGTGATAAAAATACAATTGAAGATTCAAATAATAATTTAACATTTGCAGCTAGTTCAATGCAAGGATGGCGAATGTCGCAAGAAGTAAAATATTAATATAGATTTTTTTTTTCTTTGAAATATTTTATTATTTAATTTAGGATGCACATAATGCTATTCTTAATTTGGATGATAATACATCTTTATTTGCTGTTTATGATGGTCATGGTGGATCAGAAATAGCTGTTTATTGTTCTCAATATTTACCGGAATTTATTAAAAATCTTGATTCATATCGTCAAGGACGATTAAATGATGCATTAATTGAAAGTTTTCTTAAATTTGATACATTATTACTTGATATAAATGTTAAAAAAATTTTACAAAAATTAGCTAATGATGAACATGAAGATACAGAACAATCACATGAATTTGTTGGTTCATTAAATTTAAATGAAGAAAATCATCATAATGATGAATTAAATATTGAAGAAGCACAATTATTAAAAAAAGAAGCTGAAGTACCTATTGAAGAAATTCTTAAACGTTATAGTGGAAATGAAAAACATTTTCATTCACCAAATATTATTAAACGTATTATTGATAATCATAATGAAAATATTCAAGATTCAGATACAATAAATACTAGTGAAGAAAACATTCCAATTAATGAAACAACAGTATATTGTTTTTAATTATTAGATTAAAAAGAAAGAATTTAATTTATTTAGGAAGCTAAACCTTCATCATCCGAAGATAATACAATATCACAAAGTCCAAAAAAATCAATTTCAACCGATTCATCAACAATTATTAAATCAAATTCATTAACACGACATTTACTTAGTGATAATACAGATGAATTAGATGATGATGATGATGATGATGAAGATGATTTGGAATTTAATGCGTAAGTTTTTCATTTCGGTAGATCAAAATTATCTAATCATTTATAAAAAACAAAAAAAAAAATTTTCCAGTTTCAGATAACTCCCTACATGAAAGACGAAAATAATTGTATGTTGACTTATTTTCTGACGAGGGAACATTCCCAAGTGATTCGTAAGTCATTCGATAGAGTATATTGAGATAAAAAATAGCCTAAAAGGATTTGTGCCCATGGTGTTATGGCCGTTTTACTGAAATTTTTACTATGAGCCAGGCATTACGGAAAAAACCAAAATGAAAAATTTCGACCTGAAATTCTATATATAGATAGATTTAATAGTTATTATATAGTCCTGAAAGTTTCAACGAAAATGAACATGTCTTTCTCGAGTTATTCAACTTTAAAAAGCTGTTTACCATTTAGAAGGACACAATAATCCAGTTTAGTTGAAAATTGAATATCTCGAGAAATACATGTTCGTTTTCGTTGAAACTTTCAGGACTATATAATAACTATTAAATCTATCTATATATAGAATTTCAGTGAAACGGCCATAACTCCTCACTACTAGACCATGGGCATGAATCCTTTTAGGTTATTTCTTATCTCAATATACTCTATCGAATGACTTACGAATGAATCAAAACAAAGCGAATCACTTGGGAATGTTCCCTCGTGAGAGTAGCTAAAACTTACATTTAGATTTGGATTCAAAGAATCGTGGGCTCACAGCTTCTTAATAGGCAACATAGTCTTTGTCTTCTCCAGAACCAATTTTCTATTGGAACCAGAACAAAAAATCAATTGTAGAAGTTTTGCTTAAAATTATCTTATTAAAAATAAGGTTATTTTTAAAAACTCTATTTTCCGTTTTTTTTTGAGTATACTGTTTGCGCAGGCAAACTTTACTCAATATAGAGTATTTTTATTGCATAGAGGATAGTTAGGGCTAGGCTGTAACAAAGTCCGATTTTTGACAAAATAGACAATTTCCAATAAATACAAATAGAATCGATTCGTATTTTGTTCGAACCAGAAATATCTTCAACAGAATTGAATGAAGTAAACTTGTAAGAAGTTAACCAATGTATTTAAATATCAGTTTTAAATGGAATGGATTTGAAACAAGACCTTTCATAAAGGTCGTTCTTCGAGAAACATCAGAGTGTATGAATTCCATAAGTACAATCTTATAAATGTAAAAAATCTAGACTTAAATCCAAGAGGATAACGACATACGTTTGTATTTCAGGGTACATTGGAATACGTTATTGACCTCCTGAGCTAGACGCATCCGGATACTCGTGACTCTTTCTAAAAAAATAAACTTTGGAAACTGGACGTAGAGAAGTGTTCGCAAATCTGATGTTTACATGGATGGATAATTTCCTTGCGTTTTTCTTGAACCGAACCAATCTTATCTCTGGTATAGTTATTGAAGTCTCAATTTAATTATGAATAGTTTTCGTATGAAATTAATACAATATTTGAGATAAATTATAGAGTTTGATCGTTACGATTTTGTATTATAGATCAGATGAAGAAACAAGTGGTGATGAAGGTGAAGATCAAGTACTAGATGAAGATGAAGAAGATGATAAAGATGATGATAAACCATTAGAAGCAAGTAAAGCAGCTCAAATACAAAAACTGTAAGAAAAAAAAATATTTTCAATATGTAAATGATTTTGTTTTTTTTTTGTCATATTTTTCTAAAGTATGAGAAAATCAATAATGGCTATTTTAAATCGACGTGTAAAGAAAAAGAAACGTAATACTTCTACTGATGAAGATGATGATGAAGATGTTAAAGAAAATCATGTTTGTTTTTCTATATTAATATAAAATATATAAAAATTTAATAATTTAAATAGAATGAAGATCATGAAAGTGATGATCACGAAGAAGAAGAAGAAGATGATGATGATGATGATGATGATGATGAAGAAGAAATTGGTAAATAGTTTAATACATTGAAATGTGTAGTTGTTTGTTTTTATTTAGATGATGAAGATCTTGGTATGCTTGATATGGATAATGATCCAGGTTCATCAAGTGGATGTACTGCTGTAGTAACACTTTTACGTGATAAACAATTATATGTTGCAAATGCCGGTGATTCTCGATGTGTTGTATGTCGTAATGGTCGAGCTATTGAAATGAGTTTTGGTTAGGATTTTCACTATTTTGTTTTTTTTTTTGAGATTATTTACATGAAAATTATTTTGATTTTTTAGATCATAAACCAGAAGATCCAAAAGAACGTGGTCGAATTGAAAAAGCTGGATATAAAGTAACATCAGATGGACGTGTTTCAGGTATTATTCAGATCGGATAGTTAATTTTGAGAACGTTATTAACTAGCCATATCTTACAAAGCGCAATTCTTCTGCTTGATATTTCTTTTCTCACTCCATAATTATTTTTAGAAAAATAGTCGTACCCTCAATCATAGAGTAACTGACGGTGAAATTAGGACACTCGTTTCGCTTATATTCTCAGAAGGGATATGAAGAATGATGTTACTACAAAACAAAAAACAATAGATTTCAGTTAAAATCATGCCTTCTCTTGAATGAAAGTTCAGTCATTTATTAAAGGTTACCCTATCTGAAAAAATATGTTATAGATGTATTCTACTCGACTTTGTTGAGTAGCAATCAGGCTACTTTTTTTAAGGCCCATAATGACCCGAACATTGCTTCGGCCCGAGTGCGAAGAAAATTTTCTTCTGAATGAAGACCTATTGTAAATTGTTTGTCACTTCAGAAAAAAGTGATGACCAGAGCGGGGATAACGCGCGTAAACTTTCCCTCAAAGAGAATCAAATGTCAAAAAAGGATAAAATTGTCGGCTCGACAACATATTTCGTTGGGCCGGTTCATATCATATTTCTAATGTTCGGATCGAGAACTCCGGCTGTGTGTCTTAATGGGTACACGATCTACTTCGATAGCTCCTGATTTTCTCTCTTAAATGAGATAGTAGTCTATCTTTAATCCTTTCGCGTAAATTTTTTTGTGAATAAGAATAAAACTTAGTATTTTTTTTATAACTGATATTGAGTATCGATAAGAATTCATATGTAAAAATAATTATGTTTAATATTATTATTGAATATATATATATATATAGGTGGTTTGAATTTATCTCGAGCAATTGGTGATCATGCATATAAAAAAAATTCTTCATTATCTGCTGAAGAACAAGCAATAACAGCTTTACCAGATATTCGTACATTAACACTTGATGATCAAGATGAATTTATGATAATTGCTTGTGATGGTATTTGGAATTTTATGTCAAGTCAAGATGTTATTGATTTTGTACGTCTTCGTCTTGATGAAAAAACTCTAAGTCAAATATGTGAAGAAGTAAAATTTGTTTAAGTCTTTTAAACACACACAAAAAAAAAAAAACGTTTCTAATTTTTATTCAGTTATTTATGCATTGTCTTGCACCAAATACATGTGGTGATGGTACTGGTTGTGATAATATGACAGCAATTATAGTTAAATTTAATTATAATTCTTCATCAACAACACTTCAATCTTCAATATCTCTTAATAATAAACGTTCATTATCACCTGAACATTCATCAACAACAGACATAATAGATAATACAAATAATAAAAAATTAAAAATTCTTACTGAAAATTGTACTAATGAAACAAAATCTACAGATATTTTTTCATTAAATTCTACTGAACAAACACTTTCATAAAATGAAAATTTATTGTTTATTGTTAAACATCTTTCTATTTCTATGTAAGAGTTAAATCGAACGAAGTAAAAAAAAAACAAAAAAAGCCAAACAACTATTTGTTAGATTAATTTTTTTTTTTGTGAATGTAAAAAAAAAAAAGAAATTTTTTCATGTGTTATTATTTTCTGTATTACTCTTACAATAAGAATTAAAATACACAGATTAGAATATAAATTCGCGCGTTTTCAAAAAACAAAAACAACAAAATTAATTTGTGCGCTTTATTCATTGATTTACTTTACTATTTTGTTAAATTTTTCTTTCTATTATTCAAAATGGTTCAATCGAATCGTAAAATTAAGAATGTTGCACGTACAACGTAAGTAATTATTAACTAAGAAATCATCCGAAATGATACTTAGCATTTGAAATGAGACTTCAATCATTAAGAAGAGTCTATTGATAGTAGAATAAATATAGAAAGAATTTTTCCCAAGTACTGCCCACCTAAAAATTTGTTCATAGAAGAGTGATTCCTTCTTGAGATATGAAATCCACAAAAAAAAAAAAAGATTTTCAGTCCGTTTATTGGAATATTATGATCCCTGTTAGTGTCATGTCTCAAGAAGGAAGTATTTTTGTTCGTTGAGACATTTAGAAGACTGATATTTAACGGTTATAGTTCTAAAATGTCAGTGCATGAAGAAGAATTCGTCTATTATTCATTAACACAAGACTGACATTCTTAGCTTTTTGTGTTGGAGAGTTATTAGATTTTTCTTGACACCCTTGATTTCAGCTAATTACTCTGTCATTACCGGAAAAAAAACCTGGTCACACAAGGTTAATGCACCATGATGAGTACAATAACAATATTTGGTATTAAGTTCAAAATGATCTGAAATTTTTATTTCAATATTTCTGATATTTCACAATCAGTCTTGATACAATGAAGGAAATATGGAGATAACAGAGTCAAATCATTTTGAACAAGTACATCATCTGACTCAGCATGATGAATTAGTGCTGTCTCGTTGCTCTTCCGGATGATCATAGATCAACTGGCTGCAATCGAGGGTCTAGATGATATTGTTCGATGACTCCACTTTCTTTTTTCTCTTGAACGCTGAAAACCGCATGTGTTTATGATGTTCCTATCAAAAGTAATTCAAAAAACAGTTCCATATATTATAATGAAAAGTAGATTTCTTCCATTTTCCACAGTTCTTATGTAATGGTCGGAGTATCATCATTTCAGAGGCTAGGTATCATTTCATAAATATTACCTTTAAACTATTTATATAAATGACTAATAGAGTTCGAAAAGTATCATCAGGCTCGCGTATTCGTAGCCAACAAAATACATTAAATAATACTAATAAAACTCGTTCTACAACACATGTTGAACATAGAATAAATCATGAACGTTCAACAAATGCAATACGAGGATCAAACAAAAGAATAAAACGTTTATCATCAATTAATTCACAAAAACGAAAAAAATCTATAACAGTTAATCGATTAAATAATAAGAAAAAAAGTAGAATAATTAATAATAATAATAATAATAATAATCGACGACAACAAATAGAACGTGATCAACAAAGTAAAAAATAGAATTATTTTTATTATATATTTTTCTAATTGATTTTTCTACATAGAAAAAAAAACCTCATTAATATCTACAACAACATCAAATATAACCCGACCTGATGATGAATTTCATCGTGAAACAAATGAATAAATAATGTCGATTTTATTTGACGATAATCGAATAAACTCATTAATATTATTTTTCTTTTGAAGAAAATATTCTTTTTTCTTTATTATTATTTAAAACTAATATAAATAAAAGATTCATTAGTATTAATTGAATTTTCAACATTATTTTGCTCGTAAGTAAAATGAATGCGTCCTTCATATTTTGCATTTAATTCTTCTAAAGCTAATTTAGCTGATTGACTTTTTGGAATTTGTTCTATTGAAAGATTATTCGATGTACCAGTTACTGATTGAGCTATACGGTGATTTATATGTTCAATTGCTTGACGATATTCATTATTGGTTATTTTACCTTGTAACCATGTTGAATCAAGTAATGGACTTGCATTAAAAAATCCATCTGTAGTTTTTAATTTAATACGACCATCTTCAGTTAATTCAGCTGATTGTAAACGTGGTTGACATTTTTTTATATATTTTTCAACTTCTTTTTCGCTATAAGGACGACCGCTTCCACATCCCATTGTTGAACACGAGTTAGAATACAAAAACAAAAAAATGAGTTCTTTCTGGCAACACTTTTATAGTATGTCTTCGAGATTGAGATTTTTTTTTTCTTTCCTGTTCTAAATATCTGTGACCTTATTACAACAAAAAAAAGAATTTCTGTTTTTTTTTCTTACTGTTAAAATGGAAGGAGAATTTTGTACGACGTCATCATCTTCCATTAGAATAAGTGGTATATTGTTGAATGAGTACTTCCTAACGAAATGTTTGACAAAGACAAAAAAATGAATCATATTTTTTCCCTACGTAGATCATTGTTGATTTAAAATAATTAATATTTAGAAACTATGTCACAAAGGAAGTTAAAGTCTACAATAATTTAAAAGTTTCTTCAGAACATGTGGAAATTTCAATTTAATTGATTAGAACACTTTGTTTTCTTTAATATATTATGTTTTAGAATTTATTTAATGTTTTTTTTAAATATCATATGACATAGTTAACCTGTATCAAAAGAAATCTATATTTTAACCTAACACTTCGGTACTTTGTTATCATGCTTAGACAGATTACCTTTTCCTTTGTCTAATCTTCATTCTTTCCAGACGTGTTGCAATGAACATCAAGATTCATTAAGAAAAAGAAAATATCTTGCAAAATAACTCTTGAAAATTGTCGGTACAATGTAACAGATAATAAATGTTGTACAAAATCTTATATAACAAAAAAAAACATACTTAATGATTTAAACATATTTAAGTTTATTCTATTTTTGAAGAATTTATTTATTTTTAAATGACAATTGAAGAAGTTTTTTTAATTTTATTTTCAGTAAAAAAACAAAAATAATGAAAAGTGACTTCAAATTCTTAGTTGGATAGATCTTAAAAAAATCATTTTTCACTAGAATTTTTATCTTCTAGTTTTTTTTTTCAATAGACTATTGAAGTGCACAAATATTTCAACAAAAAGAACAACCTTGAAAATCAAAAATGAAATTCCTTTTTCTCATCGAGAGTAACAACTATTTGAAATATTTTGTCCGCATTAATAACATAAATTCTTATATTATGTTTGTATAAATATGTCATAGGCCGATCATATTGAAATAATTCTTATTTATATCTAAGCATGTATTTAGAATACGTGATTTAAACTTTCATCCTATGAAAATATTTAATTCATTGAATTCTTTTTTTTTTTTTTTTTATGTAATAAAATAAATTTGTACTAGAACAAAAGAATCCTAGACAATAAAATAAATAAACCCTGTAGATATTTGATAAATGTGTAAATATCATAGAAACGAATTCTCACGAACTATAAAGATTATGTTTAACAAAAAGAAGAAAAAGATTTTTGTTCTTTTATGTATCATGCAGGTGTTTCGATTTTTTTTTTTTTTGTCATTGAATTTATTTCATAAATCATATTTGACAAGTTTCATTTTTATTATTTTTAATAGTATATTTCAAATAAAATAGCAATAAATTAATTAAAAGATATATTCATTTGTTTAAGTTGGCCAATAATAAAGGTAAACAATAGATAGATTTATTTATTATTTATTATCCGATTGAGAATTAATTAAATGAAAAAAACAAACAAGATTATCAAGATTAACAAGAAATAATAAATAAGAGTTGTTCGCATTTTTTATATTTTAATAAAAAAAGATAAAAACTATTTTATTTAGTTATATGTTTTATTCATTTTCGAGGTTAACATATGTTCAAATATTTTTGTAATTCGAGCAGTTACTTGTTCGTATGTAAAGAAAGAAGAGAAGAAAAAGAAAAAAAGATGATGTAAACTCTGTACTGTCATAATCTTCTCTTCTAATCTTTACGTATTCATCCTTTGTGTATGTTCATATTCATAATATGAAAATCTCAAGCAAAATGATTTACTTCATTGTTAACGTATTTTTCTTATTTCAATTAACTAATGGACAACATAGAAATTATAATTTTTTTATGCCAGATTTACCACCTTCTCCTTCTTCTTCTCGTGCTTCTGATTCATCTATATCAACAATACATAAAATTCATTCATTTTCAACAAATTCATTTCGAAAAATAAATCTTTCAGGTGGTCCATTTAATGTTAAACTTAATCAAATTATTAATTCAAATAATAATTCATCATATATTGATATTGAAACAGATGAATCCATACATCAATTAATATTAATTGATATTATACAAAATGATATACTTTTTATTCGTATGATTGAAAATACAAATTTAATTAATAAAACAAATATAACAATAATAATAAATTATAATGAATTAATTGAACTTAATATTGATGGTATAATTAATATTCAATGTTTAAATAAAATTCAAACAGATAAATTTCGTTTACATAATCGTGCAACAGGTTTAATTAAATTAAAATTAAATGTTAATATATTTGATGCATATCTTCATTCAATTGGTCGTGTTAAATTATGTGGACAAGTTAATTATGAAGCAACATTACAATCATTAGGTGTTGGAGATATACAATGTCAAAATTTACTTACAACAAAAATTAATGTTATATCAAGTGGTATTGGAAATATTTATGTTACAGCAACAGATGAAATTAATATAACATTAAGTGGAATTGGTACAGTTTATTATATTGGTCCATTAAAACAAAAAATAAAAACAGGATTAGGAAATATAATTCAAATACAAGACTATACATCAATGGAAGATGAATGAATAATATTTTGCTTTTTTTTTTTTTCTTGTGCAAATTATTAATCTGTTTTTATAATAAGAAAATTCTTGACCATGTCAGAAAATAATAGAAAAGACAAAAAAATAATAGTTAGGAATTCATTGTGATAGAATATGTTGTCAAACGAGTACCCAGGGTGAAACAACCATCTGGCTGCCAATCTTCAATTGTTGATGCTGATATATGAGATCATAATGACAAATGAAACAAAAAAAGAAGAAGAAAGAAGAAACTCAACATTTTCTTTTTTTTTTCTTCTCTTTGTGTTATCCTGATGAGACTACGAAGCATTTGTCTTTCTCTCTAACATACAGACATATTATATAAATACAAATCAACCATCTTACTACAACATATTGTCGATAAATGCGCATTCTGATTTATTATTTATCTATTCATTTTTCTTCTATGACAATAGATAATGATGTTATTATTCTTATTTGATGAATGATTAGTATTTAAATAGAAATTTTCTTTTTTTCATTTATAAGAAATAAGTTTAAAATTAAGATTAACCATCAATAATGTATCAATCACGTACGTTATTATCGTATGATATTTTACATGGAATTCATATGTCCACTAATATGTCAGTTATAATTGCTTATCTAAGTTATTTTCCACCACCACCACCTATTATTCCTGGTCCACCAAGTCATCGTTTTCGAACATATTCATCTCATTCGGTTTCATCATTATCATGTTTTGTATCGAATGATTGTTATCCTCAATCATTAAATGGATATATACCTCTCATTGATAATAATCAAACAACAATATTAACAAATGTTTCTCATACTACAAAGAATTTTTCATATACAACAAAATCTTTATCTTTATCTAATAACATAACTAATTTATTTCAAAATCATTTTTTCATAATGTTCTTATTAATTCTTCTAGTATCAATAATATTATTTTTATTGTCTTTATTAATATTATTAATTTATATTAAACGATATAAACAAAATCACATAAGATCAAAAAATAAAAATAAAAAACATTATAATCGTTTAATAGCATATCGTCGACAACGTCCAAAATCAATAAATAATAACGAACATAATTTAATACATTTAAGAAAAGATTCTCTTACACCAAATCTTACAAGATTATCAATATCAACTGAAATACATACAAATAATAATAATAATAATAATCAAACTGAAGAAACTGTTTAAATATCAATGAATTGTTTTTTTTTGTTCTTATCTTTTACTCAGGAAAATAAATATTAGAATTAAAAAAAAAAGAACGATATTATTTTCGAAGATATATCATAAGAATACTTGTTGAATCACAATTATAAGATTTTAATGTACGATTATTATCAAATTCATCAAAATAATTATTAATTTTTGTTATGATGATTTTATTTGGATCAACATTTTCTTGTTTACCAAATATTTCTTTTAATTCATTTATTGTCTTATCTAATCTTATACGACATTTATAATCTTGATTTAGAAATGTTCGTAAAGTTATATCGATTGGTCTTTACAAAATAAAACGAAAAAAAAAAAGAAGTTTTATAAACAAATTTAAAAAAACTAACTCTAAATTTTCATCTGTATCAGAAGTACTCAATTGAAAACTATGACATAATTGATTAATTTCATTCAATTGACTTTGATCATATTGTAAAGAAATTTCAATTGACTAAAAATTAAATTGTAAAAAAAAAAAAAGACACAAACTATTGAATTGTTTTTCTTGATTAGAAAAACTTACATTTAAATAAGATATACATTCAACAAATTTTTCTCTTAAATGATATTGAATATTGGATGATCTTGTTAATAAATTGTTTAATTCAGATTCTGTTTTACTAAAACAAAAAAATTGTTTTTCTTATGAAAATTAAAAAAAATAATAAACCACCTATTGAGATGAATATTATTTCGAATAATTTCAAGTTTAGATTGTTCAAGAACATTAAGATCATTTTCTATTTGTCTAAAATATATTTAATTAAACTGATGTTGAACTAAAGATCTATATTTTTTTTTGTTTATTTATCTAAATCGAAATAAAACAAAAAAGAAATCTTTTTCTTCTATTTTCTATCGATCGAAAATAAAAATTAAAAATATATTCATATCCTTACATTAATAAATCTTGTTCATAGAATTCAAGTTGTTTAAGTATATCGATTTGTTTTTCTAATAAATTTGAATTATATTGTTGACGAATATTTTGAAATTGATTATTTATATCATTTCGTATTGTCTTAAAAGATTTATGAATAGAAACTAAAAAAAGATCAAAAAATTTAAAAAAAACAAATTTTCTTAATTAACTTTTTAATTCATTTTGATTTTTATTTTCTAATTCTTTAAGTGTTATTTTAATTGATTTTCGTATATCATCAACATGTTTTTCATTACAATTTGTACATATTGTACAATTACAATGTTCACATAATGTTAAAATTTCTATTTTTTGACATGATGAACATTTAGCTTTTATTGGTTGAATATCTATTAAATTTATTATTAAAAGATTATTTGCTAATTCATTAAGATTTTCAGTTAATTTGATATTTCGTTGACATATTGGACTTAAGAAAAAGAAGATGAGATGAATTAGAGAAGAAAAAAAAGAACTCAAATTTATTAACAAACCATATTAATGTTTGGTTTTCTGTATCATAAATGTCTAATTAAAAAAATAGATATATAAAGATTTTTAGAATAAAAAAAAAAAAACTACTTTGTAAACATGATAAGCAAAAAGTATGTTGACATTCAAGAACTTTTGGTGTTTGAAAACGTTGATGACAAATTGTACATTGTAAAAGATTTTCAAGATTTTCAATCTTATACAAATTTGTCATCATAAAAAGTTTTTGAAAGTGATTCTCATTTGTTTTTAACTACCTGTTAATGATTCATCAATTATTTTCATTGGAGGAAGAAAATAAATAGAGTTGCAAAATTTTGATATAGTACTGGCATTTGCCATTATTAAATAAAAGAAATACAAATTGAAAAAACTGAAAATAGTTTATTATCTTTTAATAGTTACATGAACATATTTTAAGGATTAAAAAAAACAGTACTCAATTTGATTAATATGCACAACAACAAAAAAAGAACAAACATTTGTGTTATTATGTTTGGAAAGTATTTGAGCAAATGTTAAACATTCTTTTAATATTGCACGAATATGATAGGTTGGCAAAAAGATCGACCTAAACCATATCGGATTAGTTTATTCTCTTTTTCTAAGTGATAATAAGATGTAGATTCGTTATAGTCATTTCTTTATCATAGAGAATGTTTTGAATAGTAAGGACATTGATAGACTTGTTTCAAATTCGTCTGATAAAAATTGTCGGTTGAGCGTAGTTTACTGACAAAATTTCTCGAATAAAACCGATCGCTTTTGCTTATCGTCACATTTACGGAATTGCAATTTTTTTCGAAAAGTTTTTGAATTATGTCAGATTGACGTGATGTCGACATGCAGAATCCGTCTGAAACATCAATATACCATAAACAAAAAAAACAAATTCCATATTAAGTATCAAAATTTTATTGTCTCAGACATCATCCGAGACTTGAATGAAGAATGATCTCTAAAAATAGGTTTTCGCAGCGACATCTATTTTCGTTTTCAATGTTGTGTTCATTTCGCTACTGAACTTGACTATAAGATCTTTTCAATCTATGAAAAATGAGAAAACAACACTCTTTTCAGTTAATGTAGAATTTTCCGATTCTATACGCGACTTATCGGTCATCATGGGCAGTAAATTGCCGATTTTTGTTAAATATACCACGATTTACTCTCTCTAAATATATGCGACTGTTCTCTTCTCTCATGACCGATACAGTTCATTGCCTTTACCATCTGTATCGTTGATACAAATATAAACATATGTACGCATTGTAGTATGAAGAGATCAAGAGTAATATGAACATGATCACCTTATAGATATCTTCGTACTCAGATTTGTCATTATAATTTCGTGTATTATATAAAGTTATTTCTAATGAGACGATTTTTATTTAAAATGATATTGTTTAATCAAATGATTTAAATGCAATAACAGTACGTTTATAAAATACCTTTTGTTTAGTTATCTGTTAATTAATAAAATAAAAGCAAAGTAATCAAAGCATGACGTGCTTAACAAAAAATGCTTTATGTATCGAGACAATGTATAATTTATTTATTTTGTGTTCTCTTCATTCATATTTTTCTCTTTCGAATTATATACATCAATACAATATCGATGCATATAGTCTATTTTTCTTTTGGTTTTGTATTGACATAACGCACACTATATATTAAATGAAAAAAAAACCTCGGCACGAAGGTACACCTCCGATATGTTTTGACGATTGATTAGAGAAGAGAAAGGAAGGTCGGCATAGTTGTACTTTAAACAATTCGCAAGGGCCAAAAAGGAAAGAAAACATCATAACATAACAAGTATGTAATCAAAAATATAAACCTTGCGTGTTTAGTTGTTTCTGATTTTTTTTTGTGAGATAAAATAAATCATGCTCAGTAATTTTCGACAGGTAAAAAAAAAACTAAATATTCCTTATTCATTATAGAATTTTGTTTTTCTTGTATAGATCTTTACTCGCACAATTTATCCAAGACTAGTATTAAATAATATTTGTTTGAGTTCAACTGATGCTAATAAACCATCTGTAATATAAAGATTTATCATAAACTCTACATTAATTTATTGATTAATTTTAGACTACAGCAAATGTACCCGATCATTTATGGAAACTTGGTAAACTCAATCATATTGCTGTAGCTGTTCCTAATTTAGGTTATATAAATAAGCTAAAGAACATCCCTTTTTTTTGACTATATATATATATATTTTAGAAGAAGCAAGTCATTTTTTCAAAAATGTTCTTCATGCAAATTCTGTAAGTGATGCTGTACCACAAAAAGAACATGGTGTTTATACAACTTTTGTTAATTTTGGTAATACAAAAATCGAAGTAAATTTTTTGTGTTAATAAACAAATAATAAATGAAATTTAAAAAAAAAACAATTGTTGTTTTAATTTAGCTTTTATTTCCACTTGGTGAAAAAAGTCCAATAAAAAAATTTTTAGAAAAAAATAAATCAGGTGGAATTCATCATATTTGTATTGAAGTATTTTATTATTTATTAAATTATTTTTAGACTTTTTTTTTATGTTTAATTTAGGTTGATAATATTGAAGAAGCAATTAAAGATATTAAACAAAAAAAAATTCGTACACTTAGTGAAAAAACTCAAATTGGTGCTCATGGAAAACCAGTTATATTTCTTCATCCAAGAGATTGTGGAGGAATTCTAATCGAACTTGAACAAGTTTAATCAAATGACATAGTGTTTTATTTTTATTCATTAGTTATAATTATAAGTTTAGAAATTTATTTCAACTTTTTCAATTATTATTTTCTTTTACAATTGAGGAATTCTCAATGTAGTTTACAGCATGTACTGTCTTTTAAATCATAATAAATTATTAGAAATGAGTAACGAATTTTTGATTGATTGGTGTTAGAATTCAAATAAACGATTGAGATGGTCTTGAGAATTTTAGAGAAAAATGCTGGAGCGACTTTCTCGAAGTTCCGCTAAACAAAACCGTTTTTTATTGTTTCAAGTGATAAATTTATAAATTACGCATTGAAAGATGTTCAACTTTTAAGATGCCAGTGCTTTTCCACAAGTAGTATATACAACTAGAAGTGCTAGCCGAAGGGTCCAACAGCGGCGGGTCAGCTGTACGACTTATACCTCTATATACAACATGTATTTTTTGAAAACTTCTCACATCGAAGAGATGTAGTCCAAAAATTCTGAAACTTTTTTATTCAAGATAGTCTAAATAATCCTTCAATGGAAGATGATACAGATATATATTCCTTTTAGTCCTACGCGGATTTTTCGCTGTAACAAAATCTGTAGTTTGTCTTACGATGTTCTAGAGAACGGTGTGTTGTTAGAAATTTGTTTGAACTATATCAGGGAGATCATCTTCAATATGAGTTTCGTCTCCTTTTCAGTAAATTCCATAAAACACTGATTTTTTTATAATTTGACCGTTATATTTTACTCGAGATACTTAAAATTGGTGAGCTACTCTCCTATGTATCGAAGAAATCTACACATTTATAGGAAATCTTTTTCTGTACGAAACTCTTCTAACTATTTGAAATCAAAATGAATCTCTGAAGCTCTTTGTATTTGTTATACTAGAAATAGCAGGAGTAAAAATAAAAGCTCACTACAGTTCCAGCAACAGAGTATCAACATATGGATGTGGGTGTGGATGGATTGATTTCTCTTTATTAGATACCAATACAAAAACTATATATGATTCATTCACACCGATTAATTACTTAGGGCAGTCCAACAGTAGTGAGACTGATACTCTAGTTCCTTATAAAAAATTTAAAGAAACTTTCTCTCTATATAGTCTGATAGAGAAAGTTATTATATGTGCTGGTTGTATTAATATTCATTTTAAAAAAAATATGAGTGAGTATATTTTAAATAATTTTTGATAGAAACAAGATAGAGAACTGGTTTTCATCGTTCGAAGGAGGAAATGATGACGCATCGAATTGTATATTTCAGGGTTTCCTGATCTATTCTTTGTAAGGTTTTCAATTGACTCTATTAAGAACAAACCTGTCTGGTAAGTTGTTTACAGTGAATTGTCAATGATCAAGTATAAATTCAAACCACTAAGCGAAGATCTCCAAAGTGTGAAATGTTTTCCTGACAGTTAGAAAATTGAATAAAAATACTTTAGAAATCAATGCGAGAAAGCAATATTGATTGTTTGATGATGATGATCATCATCTTCAGAATTTTTTAATGGAATATAAGTTCCTTTACAAACACATTCTAAGAGTCATTCAACATATTGTTTTATTAATGTCTATAGATATAAATTAAATTTTTTTGTTTTTGCTTCTGCTAAGTTATTAAAAACAAAAAAACGCAAATAAATAATTAGTTTGAAGTTTTTCTTTCAACATTTGTTTTATTAACTTCATGTAAAAGTTGTAAACGTTGATAAGCTAATTTAATTAAAGAATTTTCAATATCTAAATTATTATTATTTAAATGCTTATCTTTTTCAATAATACCATAATATGTTTGACTTAATGTACAAAAATCATCAAATGATTTGTTCTTTTCAAATAGATTTTCATTCTTTTTTTCTGATAAAAAAAAACGATATGGTTGCTCATTAATATCATTTGAGATTAATTGATCACTATATCAACATTTATTAGACATTGATTATAATATCGTTCTCACTCAGACAAAAATTTGGAACAACGCTAGAAATGCGTAAAATTTTCACTTTCAGAGCGTTAAAACGCGTTTTTTTTCCAAACTTCGGCTACTTGGGTCGAGCATAATATAATTTAGCTAAAATACATTCGAATTCAAATAAACGAGATAATGAAACAGATTTGGATAGATTTTCGAAACGAATTAATTCTTGTCTAGATTTTTCTATGTGACGATTATTAGTTAATGAATATTTTCCTATCATGAAGATCTCCATAAAGTGACTAATTCTGAGCAGTATGCCAATCATGCAATTATTAGAGAAATTTTACTGTATTTGAATAAATAAAAAATTTCTTGTCCATGATAAACCAATAAAATCTTCCTCACACCTGTTTTAACCTGGATATTTTTTTATCGATCTATGGGCTACATTATGAAATAGAAAATACGCGAGTATAGACAAATGATTACATAGGTAATGCCACGTATTTATGAAGAAAAATCATATAGAAATGGCGCATTTTAATTTCGTCCTATACACGTCTACTTATATCATGTAAATTTGAATGTTTATCCTATGATTATAGTTCTTCATGTACTTGTTATTATAAAATATCTCTATAAATAAAGATATTATTTTTAAGATTTCTATCAATATACATAATTATTGATTTGATTCTAGATGTGTTTATTTTGTGTATTTAGTGTTGTGATATTGATATAACTGAACGTGCTGTAATACATATTTAATTCAAATACAAATTCATAGTATTATAAAGATTATTATAGATTATATCATTTCTATAATTATCGATATAATACTATGTAAAGTTGTTGATACCATTAAAGGTATTATCGAAAGTATTTGCATTGATATTATGTTAGTTCGTTCATCGCGAATATTGTTGGCTGATGTCTTTGTTTTCCGTTCTTTATGCTTCTCTCAATGGCTTCTCAAGCACAGGCAGACATATCCACCATCAAATCGTAAGTATAAATAAATTTTTCTCGTTGACGATGACGGATATGATTTTGTGTCGATTATTCATTAAAAGAAAGAAGAAAAAAATGAATAAAAAAAAACGGAATGAACACTATATAAATGAGACGAGACAACGGGATATTTTGAAGATATAATATAAGAAAATTGCTAGCTATGGTTATCAATCAATTAATCGAAAAGGTGCGTATTCAATCCTTTAGAAAGAATTTTTCGTTAGATTGATATCGAGTATCTTTTAACGAATATACCATCCAAAATTTTTGTTGCAGCCTCTATCTCTAAAAGTTTAATAACTTTTAGATTTCATTTTAGCTGTTGAACGTAAAGAAAACAAGAATGCGAAGTACGAAAATAACTGGGAGAAGCTCGAATTGAATTTTTGCAAGTCGAGAGAAGGTGGAAAAGGAAGTGAGTAGCAATCAAAACTAATCTATTCATCAATCAAAAAAGAAAAAAGAACTAACAGCTTCTTTTCTGCACAGTCAACATTATTTATCGCCGCTTTAATAAGAGGATCTGTTGGCAGGAGTGATTTTTGCCAGATAGAAAGCGCAGTTTTTAGAAATGAAAGTGCATTCAAATAGTCACCCATCTCGTAATACACCGAACCAATGTTGTTGTGAGAACTAGCCAAATCAGGATCATTTGAAGAAAGAGTTTTTTGATCGACTTCTAGTGCCTTTTGATAAAACGAGAGTGCATTCAAATAGTCACCTGTCTGGTAATACGTTGAACCAATGTGGTTGTAAGAAGTAGCCAAATGAGGATGATTTGAAGGAAGAGTTTTTTGACCAAGTTCGAGGCCCTTTTGATAGTATGAAAGTGCATTTGAATAGTCACCCATCTTGTTATATACCGAACCAATGTTGTTGTAAGAAATAGCAAAATCAGGATGATTTGAAGGAAGAGTTTCGTGATAGATATCCAGTGCTTTTTGATGGGATGAAAGTGCATTCGAATAGCTACCCATGTTGTTATACACCGAACCAATATTGTCGTACGAAGTAGCCAAATGAGGATGATTTGAAGGAAGAGTTTTTTGACCGATTTCGAGGCCTTTTTTATAATATGAAAGAGCATTCGAATAGTCACCCATTTTGTCATATGTCGAACCAATGTTGTTGTAAGAATTAGCCAAATGAGGATGATTTGAAGGTAGAGTTTTTTGGTAGATATTCAGTGCTTTTTGATGAGATTCAAGTGCATCCGGATAATCACGCAACTTGTTATACACCGAAGCAATGTTCATGTAAAATATAGCCAATATAGGATGATTTAAAGAAAGAGTTTTTTGACAAATTTCGAGGCCCTTTTGATAATATGAAAGTGCATTCGAATAGTCACCCATGTTGCAATACACCAAACCAATGTTGTTGTAAGAAGCAGCCAAGTCAGGATGATTTGAAGGTAGAGTTTTTTGGTAGATATTCAGTGCTTTTTGATGAGATTCAAGTGCTTTCGGATAGTCACCCATGTTGGAATACACCATTCCAATGTTGTCGTAAGAAGTAGCCAAGTGAGGATGATGTGAAGGAAGAGTTTTTTGAGAAATTTCGAGGCCTTTTGTATAATATGAAAGGGCATTCGAATATGCACCCATGTTGGCATACACCGAAGCAATGTTATTGTAAGAATTAGCCAAATGAGGATCATTTGAAGGAAGAGTTTTTTGACAAATTTCCAGTGCTTTTTGATGAGACTCAAGTGCAGTTGAATAGTCACCCATGTTTTCATATACCAAACCTATGTTGTTGTAAGAAGTACCCAAATCGGCATCCGTTGATGAGAGAACTTTTTGTTTGATTTCCATAGATTTGTTATAATAGGCAACGGCTTCCTTGTATTCACCTTGGCCACGTTTCACCATGCCGAGCATATCATATATCGATGCTTTTCCTGAGTTAGTCTTTGTTTGATCGAGCAATACACCACAAACTTCTTCGGCTTTGTTGAACTGTCCCAGTTTAATCAGCAATGCTCCCAAACGACTGAATCCTTTCTGCTCAGGATAGGTCTCTTTACGCATTTGTTCAGTAAGTATCTGAAGATCAGGATCGTTATCAATAGTCAACGTTAAATCGACTTCCCAAAGACAATCATTTCCATCGATTTGTTTTATTGATCCTATACGAAAAATGGAATGCATGGAGAAGAGAATTTCTTCTTCTTCTGTGAAATAACTGACATCGCGGATGTTTGCGAAAACAGTATTAGATATTGATGAATTAATAGTTATTGCAAAGAGAACACCTATCCGATCAGGTGCACTTTGGTTACTATCAGCAAAGGCAAGAGATACTTGACGATCCATACTAGTCGATAAAAAATTGTTAAATGATAATAGTCCACCTTGTGTCGTTATCATTCGATCAAAGTCAGCCTTCATCAATCCTTGACCACGATACACAGTAAATGAATTCAAAATTGAACGTTCAGCAAACTGTTGAGCATGAAGCCCTACGATGTGATTATGAAGATCACGAATAAAAAATCCCATTTTTATGATGAGATCGATCTCCATCATTCGTAATGATCGATTGAGCATTGAATAAAGAAAGCTTGGGCACGTATACCACCATATCGGGACATATTCGTGGTATTCTTGTTCGAGTTTGTTAACATAATGAAGACCATTCGGATTATCGGCGAAAACGTCGCGACAGTACGCAGTGAATTCATTCATATGTTGTTGGTTGAAATCAATGGTTAATAAAATTTCCTTCATTATTTGTGTGTACATAAATGAACAATCCAATTGATTGAGGTCCTTCTTCGTAGATTCACTATCAATGGTGACAAAACTGATCGATACCATGTTTTGGTCACATTGTTGTGCAGCTTGTTGAAGAGCTTTACAAATCAAAGCAATATCTGTAAAGATCCCTTTTATTGTTGGCCAGTCTGTGACGCAGCCTTCATGTCTAGTTTGGTTTTTACTTAAAATATAGATACTATTGATTTGTGAAATTTCATGGATAATGGGAAGAATTGTTTCCATGTAAACATCAGAAATGACCATAAATACTCTCTCTTCTTTAATATCGGTTATAAAATCGATGCATCCATTTACATCAGTAAATCTATGGGTGTTGTTCACTACTTCCTTGAATTTGCTGATGGAATTCATACAATCGTTGTTGGTTATATCATCGATATCGGCATCGAGCCACACTAGAACGAAGTTCAGAAAAATCCGAGCACGAGGTGATTGTCGTGGTTTTATGCTCGTATATTCACATGGTGTGGCTTCGGCAGCAGTTGTTATTGACTTTTCCGTTTTCTCCATGCTGTTTGTGATGTTTTATCAATGAGAACAAATAAAATCACTTGAATTTATATAATATGTTATTTATTTTTTCTAGATACTTCTACGCATTTTCGATTGGTGGTGTCTTTTGAATCGTTCTCATATTTTCGTTTCACTTGATTGCTTCACTTGTCTTTTTTGTCTATGGTTACCTACAGTCTCACAAACAACGAACGAGTGAAAAATATGATTCATTGCAAAATAACATTATACGCTGTGTCATATATCGTTGTGTTTTTATGATACCTACAAATTTTTTCTCTCCTTTTTATGTCAATGTAAATGGATTAATACATAGAAACACCTGAAAATGTATGATGAATTATTATGGCAATACGTTCTTTCTGTTTAATCGAGGGCGCAGTATCACACGAAACTGATAAAAGTATCAGAGCCCGAAAACGAACCGAACTCGAACCGAACTAAGACGGTTCGGTTCGGTTCGAGTCGAACCGAACCGATCTCGATGCGGTTTTTTTAAAATTTAGTCGAACCGAACCGAACCCGAACCGCTCTTTCAAAAACGTAGTCGAACCAAACCGAACCCGAACCACCCTTTTTAAAACAGAATCGAACCGAACCGAACTCGAACCACTTCTTAAAAAGCGACCTTAAGCTGAACTGCGCCTAACTAATTTTTGAAAAGCGAATAAATATGGACAAGTACATAAGAAAAATGATTAGCTGAGCTATAATCTTTTTTGTAAGATTGTGATGCTATATGGGATTATCAAACGATCTTTAATCGAACATTTGACATCAGGGATTGTGGACGATCAATTTATATTTACAAAAATTTATCAAGTCAAGAAATCTATTGTAAAAGATTTCATTTTATTTTGAATTTAAATCGAATTTGTACAAAATTCAAAAAAATTCAATAAACTCAAAATAATTTAGATTACATCTAAATAAATTTGAAGTATTTTAAGCTACATTTTAATTAATTTAAGTTTCACTTTGTATAGTTATCTATAGAAATCAAAAGAAACCTTTTATCTCTCAGGTCTACTAGCAATGGTATCTGTACAAGCTTTTTATTATCGTTAGAAAATAATAGGAACGGAGCACGGCCGTTTTCTTACGGGATCTACTATAGTGATGATCGGATGTTAACGTATAATAGCAGTTTCTCTCTTTATTTCTGATCTATTTTTCTTGAAGTCATGTATTTTGACGATTGGGCTGTTGCATTTTAATTCACAAAAAATTATTATTTCCAGAAATTAATTCTCAAAAATTTAAATCTAAAATAATTTTAAATTTATTTCACATAACAATTTAAATTTATTGTAAATTAAAATTTTGGTATCAGAAAAATTTTTATTTAATTTAAATTTATATTGGCAACAGTTTTAGTTTAAAATAAACTTACAGGAAAATGGCACGCCTATCAGGAACCGAACCGAACTATAATGGTTCGGTTCGGTTCGAGTCGAACCGAACCGATCTCGAACCGGTTTTTTTAAAATTTAGCCGAACCGAACTCGAACCGATTTTTTTTAAACATAGTCGAACCGAACCGAACTCGAACCCACTTTTTTAAGACATATTCGAGCCGAACCGAACCCGGACCAATTTTTTAAAAAATTAGTCGAACCGAACCGAACTCGAACCCGTAAAAGTCGGTTCGATTCGGGCTCTGAAAAGTATAAGTAGAAGATTGCTATTGTTGTTAAGATTTGTTTTTTTTTAATATGAAAAACTGATCAATTTTATTATAAAGTGCAAAGGGTGTTTTTTTTGCATTTATATTGTCAAACTATTCCTAAAGAAACACTAAAAGAAACAATCATCATTAGTTTGTTTTAATAACGAGGCATAATGCCTATGATATTTTTCCATAATTACTGAATTATGTTTTAATAATTTATATCCAATTTCAAAATGAAGAATTTATTTTATATATTCCATTATGTCATAAAAAAATCAGTTCCCACTTCAAAAATCGTCGTTTTGTGGAGCGAATTGAGAACTAATGAAACTTCATATCGAAGTTTAGAAAAAAATGCGCGAAAGATCAACAAAATGAGATCAATCATATAGTTTATATGTATTGAAACTGTTTAAAATAGACATTGATGAAGTTTGATCTAGCAAATAACGAATTCAGCGATCAAGGAATACTACATATGGCTAATGCACTACAATAACATTAAGTGACATAACTTTTTCGCTCATGTACTATCTATTGATTAGAACCATCATTGTTTCATTGTTATAATAATCTATTGTATATTTATTTGTTTAAAAGTAAAACATGCTCACAATTCAGTCGAACATAAAGGAGTGAAACATTTTACTAATGAATTAAAAGATAATTCAGTGAGCTTCATTTTAGTATTTATTATTCAAAATTGACATAAATTAAATTGAATTTTGCATTTAACAAATCATCAAATCAAAGAGCACAACATTTAGCTTATGTATTACAAATTAAATTAGAGACTCGAACCGTAGTATCTTCGACCGGAAAGAATCGAATACGAATAGTTACGATCTATCATTAATTCTGTAGAAAATAATACTGTAAAACTATTCTACTATTTATTTATCTCATTAAATTTTTATGTTGTGCAGCACAAACACTAGAAATATTGGAATTGAAGCAGAATAGAATGATTCAAGAAGCACAACACTATTTCGTTAGTACACTAAAATAATAAAATCTTGCGAGTATCTTGGTGGTTACCAACACTCAACAAAATTCATGTGATAGAAATCATTGTTTGGTTTGTTTTTCTTCAAATTGCATTATTCTCTACACTTTACGAAAATATTTTATATTTTTGCAATAAAGTTATACATATCAAATGCATAACAAGAGTAAAGTAGAATCAATTAACATGATATTAATACAATCGTATTGGTAATGTTTTCCTATTAATGAATGGCAACATTTGTCTAGTTATAGTTTTGTTTAATAATGAATACAGTTTTTCATTTTAACTGTCAAACAAGATTCTATTGAGTGAATATTATTTCATTTTAAGACCTTTGAAGTAGAGAGAATTTCTTAGCAATTATAAATGGCAATTATTTTATCGACAATAAAACTCATGATTAGTTTGATTGTATTCAGGTTAAATCTTATAAAATGAAACGCAGAAATTATTAAAAAAATACTCGTGAAACAACACAGACGTACGTGCTTTATTCTCTATGTCATGTATGTATAAGTACTACTTGAGGAGAAGTAAAAGAGAAATTTAAGATTTAGTCCGATGTTTGCTTTCGTTTTTTTCATGGATCAGTCAAAAAAATGAAGAAAAATCGAAAAGAAGAGAAGACCACGAGCGCATTTCACCATTGTAGGATTAAAACGGTGTGCCATCAATTGGTCGAAAGAAAAATGTCGAAAGAGAAAAAA